TAATCAAAATAAATAGAGATTTTACAAAAATTGTTCAAAATGTTCACCATTTTCACGCATACAAAGATTTATACGTCGAAGAAAATTAATAATAATACATAGGCGTAGAACTTGATTTTTTAAATAATTGCACCTTTGAAAATTCTACGCCAATGGCAGAAAAGGGGGTTGAGTATGGAATTTGGATTGGGTACTCATTTACTACAAAAAAGTACCCTTGACAACACTCGATTTACTCTCATGGTTTTGACAAAGTTTGTGTTTCAATAATTATTGTTCTAAAATTACTAAAATGCAAATTTCGTCAAAACCATGAGAGCAATCAAGTCTTATCTTATTAAAATAAATAAGTTGCGCAATCTAAATTTCATACACAAACTCCTTTTCTTCCATTGCCGTATAATTTTCAAAGGTGCAATTATTTTAAAAATCAAGTTCTACGCCTATGAATTATTATCGGACAAAATTTCAACACCATATTTTTGCCACATAAAACTATCAATATACCAAATTTCAGCAAAATCGCATATGCCGTTTAAAATTTATATGGGAAAAACGATTTAAAAATTGTAACTTCAAGGCCCTCTGGAGCCCAAACGATGCAACTTTGTACTAAGGTGAGTTTACTTAAATCGACTTATTTTGGTCTAAGACATATGTGGTATGTTTTTGTAAAGACCTTTTACAGACACCCTGTATAATCACTTATGTAAATTCTCTCATGCAAGGTCATGAAGTTTCTCGTTTTATTTGTTAACTAATTATTCTCGAAAGAACGAAGTTTCGAATATTCTTATTTTCGAAAAACAACTCTTCGAAACACATAGTTTTTCAACAAGTTTAATTATGACAATGATACATCATTAACATAATAGGTAACATTACAAAACATGTGCAATATTCTGCAAATAAATAATTAATTGATCATCATCATCACATGTTTCGTCAAATGATGAACATATATTGCGTAGTCTCTGGTCCAAAGATTTATACTTTTTTTACTCCAGAGATGGCTTTCGCAATTTCAAGTTCCGTCAAGCATTGTTCCTTCTTGATTTTGCCCAGGAAGTTCCAGAGAGATGATTTTCGTGCGTCCAAAAGGGATGAAAATCCCCTATGCCACGATTCAGCGGCGTTGTTGGTCAATTTTGATTGCTGAAGAACACTTTCAAAGCGGCTCCAAAGAGAATAATCAAACATGGGTTCAGTTCTAATTCTTCTGTTCATCTCTCCCACCCTTGTGTTTTCGAAATAATCAATAAATTCTTCATTATTCACTTCCGTGGACAGATGTTCTCCCACTATAAAGTCGAAGCTTCTGAAGACTAAAGCAACTGGCATCTTGATTTTCGAATTAAAATAATAGAATAATGCTCTTTCATAAGTATAGAGTTTTTCTTTTTGCGAACACTTTTTGGGGCGTCGCTATTGAAAAAATATTATTCGAAAACGTTATTTTCGAAAAAAATTCCGCGACCCATCTGAGTATGTGGGTTATTCTGTGACAAATTGTTATTTTTTTATACAGGCTGTTCCGTCTTCTGAATATAAAAGGGGGCCAGGTGCCACGTGGTAGAAGCATTAGTATTCTAATCACGTAGGCGTGCCGGTCGTGGGTTACAATATAATACAATACGTTTATTTTCCATTGGACATTTTTTCATGTAATCGTCAGATTGAAGGCTCAAAACTCGACAGTTCGAGACAGAGATACAAGATGAAATGATGATATTTCAATATTACAGAGAGAAACAAAAAGACTAGGGTGCCGAAAAATATTCTTCTGAAGTATAGGGATTCATTTCCAGTAGAAAAATTGGCAATCTGGCTCTATTTTATAGATATTTTCATGGACGATGCTCTTCTGAAATATCAAAAAAATTTCCTCCCTTGGCAGACCCGCGAGATTAACCCGTCGAGTTGAGGCTTCGCACCCCTTCGTGGTCACTTTGGAGACCTTGTAGAACATCTCCTTCCAAAGACTTGTTCATACAACGAACATCGAGGCTCTGGACAACATTGCCAAGGGAGGTGTTCCCCGAGGCATATAACCTCCAGAAATTCCAGAACACCAATTCCTACCTCATTTCCCTTGGTTCTCACGATGTTCTCTGAACATTACAGGATATCCCGTTTCGTGGGAACCAAAACATTAAAAAAAAAGTTTGTTTTGAAATAACTGAGTTTTTTGAAGTTTTTCAATCGACTGGGAAGTTTATTGAAAACTTTTAGTCCAAAGTGATTGAGAGGGTTACGTGTAATCTCATATTTACACATTTGAATTTGATAATTGTCACATTGTCTTGTACTTATACCATGTATATATTCCTGTTAGTAATGAATTTTTCTTTGTTCAAAAATACATGAAAACATATTTCAAATACAAAAACACCAATGACAGCTAGAATGTTAAGGCTATTAAAAATATGTCTGCAAGATTGTCGACTAGGTATGCCTGCTATTATTTATAGTTCATTTCTGTACAATAAAAACATCCGGTGATAGAGTAGAGTTACCCCAAAAATTATATACCATAACGGATTCATGAGAAAACTTCAGCATGATAGAGCAACAACACCTGTTCTTCTGTAAGTATTGTTTTTAGACTCCAAAACATATATCAAAATGAATTTAGTTTCTTCATCACTTTGTTGCAATGGTATTTCCATCATCTATGCCGATTCCTAGGAATGTTAACTCATCAACATTTACCAGCAGATTACCATGCACAGATATATCCATATTTCAGCAACGTTTTTGCCGATGATGAAATCTCATTACGTTAGTTTTTTCTACATTGAAGAGAAGTAAGTTAACACTACACCAAGAGATCACTGTATTCATAACGTTGTGGCAATGTTCCGATAGATTATCATCATTTTTGTCTGATATGAGTTCAAGTCCTAACGACTGCAGAAATTTAAATGATGGCCCAAGGAAGTGTTTCGGAGCACACGTTGAAAAGTCTCTTGAAGACTTCTGAGGGTAGCTCGTGAGGGGGCAACCGAATACATAGAGAAATTTCCGAACAAAATAATATTTGTTATTGCTTATTATCATAAGATGATCATCATTAGATTTCCCTATACCTAGGTCTTGCCGTTTTCAGACATACAGACGTTCTTAAATCTTTTTTCTACTAGTGTGCAGACATGTCCACTTTTCTGCACTCATTTCAGTGCTGAAAGGGCCACTTTTCCGCACTAGTGCGGAAAGAATTTATTTTCTTCGTCTATACATAAACATAAAATTGCTCGTATCTTACTGTGTTTAATGAATCAATGAGGTACTTTGTATGACAGCTCTGTTAATAGATGAGCATTACTCAAGAGAAAATCAGATGGCTACAGTCAAAATTTTTGAATTTCAGAGCTCATTTCAAATGTACCGTCATGGCCGCCATTTGGCGATACGTCGAATAAATGGTGACGTCAGTTTTCATGCTGTTTCGTTATTGGTCAGATAATCTTATTCCAGTCCCACTCATAACGCAAGGTTGTCAAATCATCAATTATAATCAAGTTATCGAAAAGATATTAGAGTCTTGTCACTCATGTTGTTCATTCCTGACTCATTCAAGCAACCAGCATGCTCAAATATTTCATATACATCAAAACCAAATATCTTGTAAATGTTGAAGACTTGGCAACAATGTGCCTAATGCTGAGAACTGACAAGACACCGCCCACAATTGGTGAGCCGTATGTCACGTTCGCCGGTTTTCTTCAGTTAAGTTAATAATTATTATTACAGGAAATCTACCATTGTTGTTCATTATATGAACATTGTGTGGAAATGACTTAGAGCTTTTTGTATTTATTTACAGAAATGTTTTATCAGCAATGAAGTCACAACACTCGAGGGAACATTTTGAGACAATTGATTTTTCATTAGTAATTAGGAATATCACCAATATATAATTGAGAATTCATGAAATATTGATTAACCAATATTTCTGAAGTTTCCAATCATATTTCAACATATGGCAACTGTGCTATGGACTGCCCCTACTTACGAAATCGTGATGTCAATTTTTACTCCCTGTAAATTTCTAGCCATTTGATAATTACCATGGCATTATTAATAATTTTAGCACCTTAATAAAGCTGGCCGAGAAATTTTACAAATATATTAAAAGGTATCTGAGTGATGATTCTATTTAGGAAATTTCAAAAATCTTCCACTAGCGTGTGAAATGTTACAGGGTGATCCCTAAAAGCTCAGCAAATCTCAAATTTATTTTGTCAATTGGAGCTCCCTGTTTTTAATAGTTTTTTCAAAATGATCAAAGTGATCACAAAAATATGTGTATAGAGTATGTTATCCAATTCTTTATTCTGATTTTTATCATAATCTTGGACCTCTGATACAGAAAATATTTTGAATGATAGTAACCTACCTGGAACTTTATTATTGTTATTGAAATAATATGAGTAATAATCTGTTTTTCTATAACGTGTCTCCAAAAGTAAAGCAATCAATATATTATTAGAAGGCAAAAAAGCAAAACAAAATGAAAGTGAATATTGAAAAAAACAAGATATTGTTTTTTGAAGTGTGACTGGGACCAGAAAGTATGAATGGTTATTGCAATCTTGCTGTGTTGTTCAATAATAGTGAAAAGATGTGGTATGGTGAGAATGCAAATTTGATTAATTACCTACTTCAATTTTGTAAACACATAGAAGAAATGTTACTTTCATGAGCTCTTGTTTCTTGTGAATAGCATTGATGATAAAAATCAGTGTAGGGGGAAATAGAGAAAAAATAGGAGCAAATCAATAAAGAAAAATCAAGGAAATTGAAGATTACTATTCTAGGCTTTGATTGAACTTTTCACTTCCTATTTCAATATCAAAATATGTTGTGGAAAATATTACATGATTGTGTGAATCTCAAGGGGTATCTTCTAGGACTTATCCAAATAACCAGTCATTTAACCATCAGATTTACAAGGGATGGATATAATGCAGACCCTCATTCAACAGGTTGACACTTACAGGTAACCTAAATTTTTTCAAAACATTTTGAAATGACTCTTCATCCAGTGATTTGATATCTCTAGTAATACTTCTAATGTTATCTAAGGCTTGTTTCAGTTTATCTATTTCTGAAACAGCTTCCTCATCCTTGGCTCTAATCTTCTTAGTCCTTCTATTGAATGATGATTCAAGTTCATTCCACTGGCCAGTTTTTTTACAGGCAGCACACATATACATTCCTGTCAATAAAAAAGAATTCTTAAAGTGAAGGTGATAATTAGAAGACATGCCATTAGTTTTTTACCTGTATATTTGTTAATATACAATTTTGTAGTTTTCAGTGGTTTTTGACAAAGTGTGCATGGCACTGAAAAACAAGTGAATCCTTCCTCGTAATTTACATTATTCAGTCTCATCGTTCTTTTAATTGAGCTCGTTGATACTTCAGGGATATCATCAACAGCAACTTCATTATATTCTCGCCGATATTCATTTCCTGGCTTTAGAAGAGATTCCCTATTCTTTAGTATTTTCATAGCGGTTCTTCGAAATAAAATGCCATTCATTATTATTTTCTTTTGTTTTATAGAATACACGAGGACCAACTTTTTCGATTCAACAAGAATTTTAAATACAAAAAAAATAAAGTAGGCTCCGAACTGTGCTCCAGGCTCCAAACATAACCATAACCTCACATTTCAAATTTCAATTCCTTGTCATTTCTCAAAATGTCAAAATACTCAAGCAATGAAGTCAAGGTCACATGATCGTGACGTCGTGCTGTGTCTGTGGTTACGATTATGGGCTACGAAAGGGGACTACGTCTCACAAAGCAGTGATGTTCTCCATATTTATATAATGGAATCGAGTGATTTCTTCCTAGGAATACATCTTTCGAAATTCCAACTGGTCAAAGAGAGTGACTAGCCAGTTTATCAATCTCAATCACGAATGCCTGCAGACAGTTCCCGCACACTAAATCCAAAATTCTTGCTACTGGGCAAGCACATGATACGAGAGTAAATTCTTTCTTCAAACATAAATCATCAAGATTTCAATTTTGTTCTCTCAACTAATTTTCCGAATATATTCTCTACGAATATTCATTTAGGCCGTGTGAGGTTAGATATTTCAGAGATAGTAGTGTCCTTCTTTCTCTTCAGTAATTTTACTCAATGGTGGAATATAATTTTAGGAAGGTATATTTAGGCAGAGTTATCTCATATTGTTCAGAAAAAGTGATATATTTTGAGAAAAGTCCATATAAATCGATTTAGGTTAAATTGTTCAGCGAGAGTAGTCTCCTTTCTTGAGTATTGCTCGGTACAGAGGCGCTGAAACTGCGCTGCATTATCCATCTTTCCGCCGATATTCATCTTCTTCATTCACTTTTCCAAGGAATTAACGCATCACCAAAAAGTAGCCAGAAGTTTATGAAACATTTTGGTCAACACTACTTGTCCTATTCGGATGTTTTTTGTTTTGATTGACAGGTGTGAATGATTATTGCTGTGCAAATTATATTCGCCTATAAGGACCTCTTATTAATGGATACCTACCAGAGGTGAAGCAATCATAACGTGGTTTTTCCATGAAATTTGTAGGGTAACAGTTTTACGTTATCAAGCTGAAATTGAAAGTAAGCTTCAGCCTCATATATCTTTTTTCAACATCCATTTCTAGGATTCACTTCATTATCTCTCATATTCCTCCTGAAATACGATTTCATAACATCACATGATTTTATTGAATTTAATTTGCATTGAAAGCACGTCTGGGAAGGCATTTCTTCGACTAGTCTCATGGAACTTGTGATCTTTAATGGAAGCCTTACAGCTGAAAAGTACATATCGTCGATTTTAGAACAACATAAATAGTGTAAGGATCTTTGTTGATGCAAGATAACGCCAGGCCTCACGACGCCCGAGTTGTGAAGAATTATCTAGAGGGAGTCTGTATCGCTACCAAGGCATATAGCCAACTCGAAGCCCGGATTCAAATCCCATTGAGAATCTCTTGGACATTCTTGGAATAAGAGAACAAGAGGAACGTAACTTATTGAATACTTCATAAAACGCACAGCAGAGACTGATGATGATTCAAATTTGGAAAGATCTGGAGAACCAAGAAATTAGAGGTCTTTCATTTTGGGTATTGTCCTTCTTTGCGAAGATGTGTTTCGTACCCGAGGCGGAAATACTCGCTACTGACCCATCCATTCAACTTGTGACTTCGCATTCTGTTTCGTTTTTTCGTTATTTAATTTGGATATTAACTTTCTATAGAATCATATGTTACGCTATAAAATGTAATTTCTTGCGTAATAGGAAATATGATGGAGTGAATCCAAGAAATAAATGTTGAAAAAAGATAAGAAAAGAAGTGTGACTTCAATTCTAACTCGAGAGTGAAACTATTAAAATGTACAGGATATTACAAATTTGATAAATGAAACACGTTGTAATTGCAGCACCCGGTATGTTAAAAAAAGAGGTTTTTATGCGAATACAGTTTGCACACTGATGTTCAGAAGGAAATAGGCTGTCATTCAAAACAAAAAACCTTCAAATCAGACAAGTTCTATTGACGAAAATGTTTGCTAAAATGTTTGCTGAATTGTTGGCTACTTCTTGGTGGTGCTTTGACTTTCTTGATTACATAATTTTGTTAGAAGTCAGAATATTGGATGTAAAATGCAAGAACTGTATACAGGCACTCGTCATCCCCTTATTGGCACAGTGCTGCCACATCTCACTTCACACTAGCGTTCTTGAACTTTGTTAGTGACATTCATAATTCATAACATAACCAACAATTTTGAACTGAGAAATAAAATTATTGTTTCCATCATAGAGAAAAATATTGATACCGTGCTACAAATCATTCGATTTTCCTGTGACTTATTGTTCAGGCTAGGGGCAACAAAGTATGTTACTATTGGGGTGATAATAAAAAAAAAAGTATGGAGAAAGATTATGGCAATTTGAACTTTGATGAAAGGTACTTCAATAATCCAGATTTAGTTAGAAGGTTACCAGTACATGATGACTACTTTACAAATCCTGAGACTTACATACCATACAACTATAAAAGTAGTGAAGAAACTAGTTACAAGAGATATATAGGATCAGGAATTACTTTCGTCAGCCTTGTTGCCGAAAATTTGTTGAGCCATCCATTTCTTGTTCTCAGGAGACAATGCCAGGTAATAATTAGTACCTAAACCCAGATTTTCTTCCTTCTCCAATTCGTATTGTCCTATCTCATCATAGCTGTAGCATGTAGCTTGAGATGTAGCTGAAGAGACCAAAGGGCACAAGGAAGAAGAAAACATCAAAGATGATATCCTACTGACACTGTCATACCTCTCCCTATCATCCCTAGGTGTGCAGAATGTTCTTGGAATATAGGAATTTCCCTTTGTGTGAAAGTTATAAATGAAATATAAGGATACATATAATTGAATTAATTGAAAGCTCTTTATTAAAAAAATCAATCCATTAAATATATGGAAATATACAGTCTGATTTCTTGTAGATTTTGTTGTAGCTCAAGTTGCAGGTACTACATATTTTGACATCCCCTTCAAAGCTCTAGAGTAGAGATACAAAAAGTTGTAGGTTACTAAAGCAAGGTTTCTAAGTGAAATTAAAAATGCGTTCATAGGTCAATTCAAGTAAATAGAATGCTTTTTTTTTTCTTCATATTTTCAACTCTCACCATTGAACTCCCTAGGGATCTCAGGAGCTAGGTCCTGATCATTAATCCATAAAGAAGTTTGAGAACCAAATATTTATATTTGAGTATGGTGGGTTAACCTACTGTTTTTTCTTCATCAGAGAGGGATATAACAACTTACAATCTCCAGAAAAAAATTCCAATACCTACCTCCTGTCCCTATCCTCCCTAGGAACGCACGATGTTCTTTGAACATTATAGGGATTTCCTTTCGTGCGCTCCAAGCAATAAAAAAAAGATTAAGGGGGAGTGAAGATAAACTAAATAATAGGGATTAAGAGGAGGGTGGTGATAAGAATGAGAGTAAAGATAATGAGGTTGGTGAGGATGGAAGGGGAGGGGGGATGAAAGGGTAGTGAAGGTATAGAGGAACATGGAAATGAAGAGTAAATAGGACTAAACAGGGGAGTTGGGAGTAAGAGGGATTGGGGAAAAATTGGGAGGTGGGATTAAGAGGGGAGTGGTGATTAAGAGAAAGTGGAGGAATTAAGAGGAGTGTCAATAAAGAGGGAAATGGTTGGGATGGATGGGGTTAAATAGGAGAATGAGGATGAATACAGGGGGAAGAGGAAATGAGAGAAATAAAAGAAAATGCAGATTAAGAGGAAATTGAGGATAACTTGGAAACTAGAAATGAAAAGGAGGGTGGGCTAAAACAGATAGTTGGTATAAAAAGTATAGTTGGAGTAGAGGTTGGAGTAAAAGGGGAAGTGGAGATACAAGGACAGTGAGGATAAATAGGAAATTGAGAATAAAGAGATTAAAGATGGAAGACAAGTGGAGATTAACATGGTAAAGGGGATGAAAGGGGTGGGGTAGAGAGAATGGGGCTAAAGAGGGTAGTGGTGATAAAGAAGTGAGTAGGGATAAAAGGCAAGTAGCGAAAAATGGAACATGAGGGTAAAATGAAAGATGATGATGATGAAGATAGTGAGGATACAAAGGATAGTGCCTATAGGGAGAGGGATAATATCCAGTTTATTTTTTATCCAGAGGTTTCCACATGAGTCATCCGATCCAAGATCCCAATAGGCAATTGGACTATTTTTGTAAAATTAATTAAATTTGTGTAAATGATAATTATATCAATTCACACTAGAGGACATTTGAATCGGTGAACGTGAACACGACGCACAACTTGTGGGCGTGGTCTTGTCAGTTCTCTGCATTCCGCACAATGTTGTCAAGTCTCCAACATTCACATGATATTTTGTTATAAAGAATAAGAAATATTTGGACCTGCTGGTTGCTCAAAAAAGTCAAGAATGAAGAGATAACTTGATTATATTTGGTGACTTGACAACCTTGCTTCATAAGTGAAAATGTAAAATTATTTGATCAATAACAAAACAGCACCATTTATTCGACGTATCGCCAAAGGGCGGCCATGAAGGTTTGTTTAAATGCTAGGATTAAATGTCACCTCGTTTCCTTGCGGGAGAGAGAAGGACATATTCTGACTGACCTTTCACTCATTTTGGTTTCGTCTCCGTGGCAGTTTTTTAAAATTCCCTCGTGATAATAACTTGTTATATTTGGCCTTACCATTGTGGATCTGAATGAAAAAGGTAGTTAGGAGGCGAGAGGTATCCTCTCATTCATATCGACAATGGCCTCACCAATATATGGAAAACCAGTGCACGCCTCTATATACAGAGGTGTGCACAAAAAACGGCTAGAGCTGTAACTTCTGAATCATTCGAGATCGAATTTTGAAATTTGGTGGGTAGCAACTATACCATATTGTCCATTTATTGACGACAAAAAAATATTCCATCACTTCCGGTCTGACCGGAAGTGTCCCCAACTTTTGATTTTCAAATGGAACCCCCTGTATACTTTTCCATTTTCTGATTCAGGGTATCATTTTACATACACCAGTAGTTTTTCCGGATCAAAATGTCAAGAGGAATTTTTTTAATTCGTTTTTATCTTTAAACATTGCCCATTAATTGGTAATTGTAATCAAGATCTGGGTAGCCTTGTAAGTCAATTTCAATGTGACAGTAACATCCAATAATGAGTTTCAATACGGGTGATGATATTTTCTATTTTTTAAACATGAATAATAATGAGTTAACCGATATGTTACAAGTTTATTTTGAATGTTTGAAAGATTCGTACGATGCTGCTCGTGTTTATAGAAACAGATATCCGAATAGAAATCATCCTAGCCATCAAAAATTTGGCAGATTGGAAGCTAATCTACGTCAATTTGGTAGTTTCAAAAAACCAAAGAACCAACAGCGAGAGTTTGATGCAGATTTGGAATTGAATGTTTTACTCAGTGTACAAGAAACGCCCAGGACATCTACAATTAAGATTGCAAATGATTTTGGTACGTCACGAAGAACAGTTCTTTCTATTTTGAAAAAACATAAGTACACGCCATACGTTCCCCGCAAAATTCACGCCTTGGAGCACGATAATGACAGAGAACGTAGGGCACATTTCTGCAATATTTTTTTGAATAGGTTCAATCAAGATCCTGCATTTTATGGAAAAATAATGTGGTCAGATGAATGCACATTCGGGCGAAATGGCATCTTCAATAGACGAAATCACAGATGTTGGTCACAAGAAAATCCCCATTGTAATGTAGAAACCAACTTCCAAACAAGATTTAGTTTGAATGTATGGTGCGGAATTCTTGATGATATGTTGGTAGGCCCGTTTTTCATCGACGGTTCTTTAGAACAGTATAAGTATTTTGAATTGCTTACTGGTTATATTGAAAATTTTCTGGACCAACTTCCCCTCGCCAATCGTTATGAAGTCATTTTCCAACAAGATGGAGCACCGCCACGCAATACGCGTTCGAATGTGACTTATTTGAATACACACTTTGGAGAAAGGTGGATAGGAACAAATGGACCGATTCGGTGGCCAGCTCGCAGTCCAGATTTGACAGTCATGGATTTCTTCCTTTGGGGTTACTTGAAGGATCAAGTTTATCTATTTCAGCCAGAGAATATAGAAATCCTTAGGCATCGAATATTAGAGGCATGCCGCAATATACCCCGAGAATTTTTACACAACGCAACTTTCAGTGTAGCTAGAAGGTGTCAGCAATGCATTGCACAAAATGGGGGTCAATTTGAGCATTTGCTGTAATCAAATATATTATTTATTTAGCAATGGGTCTGAATATATCTGTTCACAATCACATCCTATTGAATAGTAATATTCTTTTTAAAAATAAATAAATCGATAAAATGACCAATGTTTTGATAAAACATTAGCGTAAGTCGCTTTTTTCTTCATCATCACTTTTTTTGACATTCGATGGTGGAAGAATCTTCGTTCGAACTTTCCTTGGAAGTGCTCCATCTAAATTTGACCTTATTCTGTTTCTTGTTTCAGAATCGTTGCTATAATTAATTTTTTATCGCCCCTCTTTCTATGCTACTGAAAATAATAAAGATTGATGTTGAGTTCATTTTGTTGTTATTTCTGTTTCACACAAAATGATCCGAAAAAAACCCGGTGGGGTTAGGTTAGGTTAGACCGGAAGTTATGGAATAATTTTTTTCTCGTCAATAAATGAACAATATGGTATAGTTGCTACCCACCAAATTTCAAATTCCGATCTCGAATGATTCAGAAGTTACAGCTCTAGCCGTTTTTTGTGCACACCTCTGTATATCTTATTAAATCTTATTGTTTATTGTTTTCACTCAATTTGTGCATCCATATATTGAAATTTTGCATCAATAGGACTTTAAAAAATATTTATATTCAGTCTAAATTTGGTAATTCATTCTGGTATGGAATGTGAACAGTTTCAATAAGTAGCATGTTATTTAATACTACTACGTTTCTACCTCACCTTCGATTGTATTTCTTCCATAAGAATTTTCTTTTCAATCAAGCAATAACTATTTGAAGGTTGAAGCTGGAAGATATATTTATTAATTTAAAAGTTATTTTTATTTATTATCATTTTCGAAACCGTAACATTATTTTTTCGTGGTCGTCCACCATTACTGCAATCTCTACCTGCAATGATTTTTCATTCAGTATAATCCGATATTCACAAAGAAATTATAAAAATACCGCCACGGCAACAAAAGCAAACTGAGCGAGAGGTCGTTATATGCTCTCTTCTTCCCGCGGCGAACCTAGGGGATATTCCATACTCGAAATGAGCTCAGTGATCATGATAAAAGTCGCCAAGAGAAATTGCTGGAAATTATTTTCGAGTTTGTCAAACGTCCGCTAGAGGGCGAAACAACCAACACCAAGTAGAAAAATGGGATTTTGATAGAATTTTGTTGAATGAAAGTATATCGATGATATCATTTTCATATTAACCGACCGTTTCCCTACATTTTTTGCTCGAAACTTTTTTTTTTATCGTTTGGAGCGCACGAAAGGGAATCCCTATAATGTTCAAAGAACATCGTGCGTTCCTAGGGAGGATAGGGACAGGAGGTAGGTATTGGAATTTTTTTTGAACTTTTGGAGATTATATGTTGTTGGGAATACTTCCACAGGCAATGAATTCCAGAGCCTAGCCGTTCTATGGATGAAGGAGTCTTGATAAAGTGCTGTTCGACATCTTTCGAGGTTGACAACGAAAGGATGTGCTGACTGGGCTTGTCTAGTTCGTCTGATTGGTATTGCTAGTGAAGGGATGATAGCAGAGATTTCCGAAGAACATTTCCCGTGGAAGTATCGATAGAAAAGTGAAAGGTCGCCGACCTTTCTACGGTGTTCCAATGATGTCAAAGAGTGAGTGAGTGTGGCGTCACCCACCAGGCGAATGGCTCTTCTCTGGATGGAATCTAATAGCATCAGCGTATGTTTTGGTGCTGAACCCCATATGTGGGAACAGTATTCTAGAACGGCCGTATCTGCGCTTTGTAGATCATGAGAAGCTGTTGAGGTGTAAAGTAGCTTTTAGCACGGAACAAGAATCCGAGTTTTTGTGAAGCAGCTTTAGCGATGGATCTGACATGATTATCCCATGAAAGAGTGTTGCTGATGGAAATACCGAGCATAGATATGGTGGGCTTGGTGGGGATGGTAGAGCCAGACATTACAATATCGGGCATACTGAGTTCCGCCTTTCTAGAGAAAAAAGGCAGGCTTGAGTTTTGGTGGCGTTGAATTCAACTAGGTTGTTTTCCCCCGAGGCTGTGATTTCAGCAAGATCTTCATTGACAGCATTGACCTGCCTGCGCCGTGAGTTCTTAGTTTCCTGGGAAGAAATGGGAATTCTGGAAGAGAACGCAGTATGAAGGGTACTATCATCTGCAAAGCTGTGGATGGGGCAAGTTGTTACTCCCAACAGATCATTAATATGAAGCCGGAATAATGTTGGTGCCAAAATTGATCCTTGTGGAACGCCGGAATTGATGCCAATGGTATCAGACGATACACCGTCCACCACCACGTGGAGCGATCTGCCTGAAAGAAAACTCGATAAGAGATGGCATAGCTGAGGTGGTAAGCCGTATGATGGTAGTTTGTGGAGGAGTCCTTCGTGCCAAACACGGTCGAATGCTTTCGATATGTCCAACGCGACAGCTAGAGATTCCCCGTTTTGTTCTATCTATCAAAATAAAGCGGTGGGGGAAGTTCAACTGTTTTTTTAAACAAACCAAGATTTCTCCCGTTCATTTCGACCGATTTTAGCAAACTCATATGAAAGAGCTTAATTTGCCCAATAAAACGCTCATTTGGTTTTGAATTTTTGACTTCTGCTGTCGCCGCTAGATAGCGTTAACTGAAAAGTTTGCATGTTTTGAGTTTTTTTCAAAAAAAAACAAATGTAATGGTATATTAATTTTTATATGTTTTGAAAGAGGATACATTTCTTTATAATTTGATGAAAATAATTTATCATCTCTCTTTTTTTAACCGTTGATATTGACCAAAATATAATTTTATTACACTGAAAATGGCACGCCACTGTTTTTTAGCAAAATAAAAATCAGTTTTGTCTACCTCATTTCCCTTGGTTCTCACCATGTTATCTGAACATTACAGGATATGCCTTTTCGTGGGAACCAGAACCTTAAAAAAACAGAACAAAATTAAGAATTTTTCCACAGGTGCACCACACATCTCGAAGGTACCACCTGCAACCCTTCACCCTGCTGCCGCCCGTGTGGCGCCTGTACCAGCGCCAGGGCGTTACTGCCCTGTGGAAGGGCGTGGGGTCGGTGCTGTTCGTCAAAGGGATGTCGCTGGGCGCGGAGGACTTGATCTCGAAGGTGACGCCGTGGCCCAAGGAGATCGGCATGCATAGCAGTCTGAGGCAGTTCTGCCACCACATAATGCTCAAGTGCGTTAGTTTGGCGGCGGTGGCGCCGTTTTATTCGGCGTCGTTCGTGGAGACCGTGCAGAGTGAGATCGCCAGCGAGAAGCCGGGGATTCTCGATGTGTTTCGAGAAGGTTTGTGTGCCCTAGACTTCCTCACTTTATTTGACACTCTTGTTTTGATTTTTTTTATAGGTATTAAGATAGTGACAAGACATGACAGTCAGATATAACAAAAAATAAATAGAAAAAGGCGGGAAGTGACAATAGGTCGCGTGCACGATGACCGACCCTGGAGGTAAAATATTGAAACACAACCTCACTTTTTTTATTTGTTTACAGAGGAATCAAAGGATTGAAATAGTTTTTCACAATATTTTGGCATAAGAATCGTGTTTATTGCGCTATTCATCAATTCAAGCATGCCTTCCCATTGTGCTGTTGTACAATGCCCAAAAAACAGCGAGAGACGAAGGAATATGATAGTAAATAGTAATCTCACACACGATCATATTTCGTCAGCATGTCAGACCAATCCTCCCGTTTGATTGCGTGAATCCAATCTTCTTGCATTATTTCAGAAATTTAGTATTTCTATTAGCTCCTATTGCAGAATGAATTCCGATGAGAAATCAGAGAAATTACCAAATTTCAAAAATGGAAACTATATGTGAGTGACTATAGTAGGTACCTACTTTTATATCATAATGTACCAACCGAATTCCTTCGTCTTCCGCTGCAGTTTTTGTGTATTGTACAACAGCACAATGTGATGGCATGAGCGAACTAATGAATAGCCGAAAAATACGATTCGTATGCCAAAATAATTGTGAAAACCTATTTCAATCACTTATTTGTGAACAAATAAGAAAAGTGAGGTTGTGTTTCAATGTTGTGCCTCCAGGGTCGGTCATCTGGCAGTTCTTGCACGCAACCCATACATGAAAGTACATGACATCAATTTCAAAGGTTTGTCAATCTGAGACCAACATGGAAAATAATAAGATACAAGTTTGTGCTTTTTCTTAATGTTAAGCCACTTTCTATTTACCTGTCTGGGTAACACCGGAGCTTTTTGTTAGTGCTTGAAGCCCCGGTGCTTCACCGTGCTACACCATCTACCTCTCCCTACCCCTGTCACTGTCAAATAACAAGCTATTTTTCGTTATATTCAAAGATTATTTTTTATTCTAATGTATCAGAATAGTTCAACTGATGATTATAACATGCTCGTCTGCAGAATCAGACATTATCAACATAGATTTGTTATATTTCAAAATTTCCAAAAGGTAACCAATAAGAGCGCACGCGCAGTGGCGTTCATTGTAAAAGTTCACTAAAATGCGTTCATTGTGTTATATTTGGGAGTATTTCATGTGCATGAAACATCAAAAAGAAAGATACCGGGATCGATTCACGTTATTCGAATTTCCATCTAATAGCACTATTAGGCAAACGGTTATCATTATCCTCTTCTGTTGTAAAAAGTACAGTAGTCGATTTTATCATCATTTCTAATGTTTCTAGGGTTGTTGATTATGAATCTGGAGTTAGCCAAAAAAAAATTGTTGTGCATCTTGAGATATTTGTAGCTAAATTTTTTGCACTTTTTTCAGTTTTTCATTTAGAAGTTCAAAACGTAGGGGAAGTAGCAGAAAACAACTCAACGTTTTTCAAAATATACAAAAATTTTCATAATTTGAACTCTATTCCATTTCTGTTGGTCCAATAATTCCCCAGTTAAGATACTTTGAAATTCAGTTTTTTATAAAATGAAACATTCGAGGTTTGGGTTAATTTTCTAGCCATATTGCGGAAGTACTGATCCTATGGGGAGTAAAGTTGTAACGAATCCATTCAACTTTAATTCAAGTTCAAAGAAACCCCTATAGATCTAATGGTCGACTTATACAAGCTGTGCTCATACTTTGCAAAAAACTAGAAAATGAAAAACAAATTGTTTGGGTTAGATCATTCTGACGGTGACACATCTATATTATTACTAAGGAGTAATAAATCCACTGTCACTTATCAGGTCCTAACTCTAGTTCTAGTTCTTCAATTTGTTATCTACTTTTGACGTAGATCAACTTCTTGGAGATCATCTTTACATCACATACGTCTTTTACCTACGAAGTGAGGACAAATCAATGTCGTACAGTTAGCAGTCCAGTCGTAGACTTTGTTGTCGGATTTCAATAATTTTTGTAGCTCTAAGGAGGAAACGGTTCGTGTATATACTGGTATCAGTTAATTCTCCAAAATAATGATTATTTTTGCACTCAAACAGACCCATTACAAAATTGCCTGTTTCTATGAAACAGTTTACATTGTTGAATAAATAACTGATCCACTAAACTTCTTAGGTCCTGTCCGTGTTCTACCAACGTCATATTATCCTTATGACTGCGCCAATTTCCATGTACTGTTCATTATTATATTATAGTCAGTACAATATTTCTCTGTGTGTAGATGGATTGGCAGAGACCTACGCACAACTTGCTATCTTCTTCCAGAGTAGAATATAGAACAGCAATTTCTATCATGACATTTGTTGACATTAGTCACGACATCATTCTCGAACGCACGGGTTAAACGATTGCATATGGTGGTGTAGAATCGAAGATGCGTACAGTACTGGAATACTTGCATTTAAACATCACGCCACTGCTTCACTAAAACATCTGACCTTGAATTGATTTGATTCATTTCTTCATGTTGTAACGCACGTGCAAAGAAATAATATGCATACTATATGCACAGTATTCAGCGCAGTAGCAAACCGTTTTTTTTACATAAGGTTTGATGCGTCTGTTGAATTGGGGAATCCCAGCAAACGGCCGCATGTTGCCGATCTGGGCCCTCATCGTCCCTACAGTCGCCCTCGGTCTTGCCAGGTACCTGTTCTCGTTGATGGTGCAAGGCGCCACCGTGCGCATCCTGGTGGCCAGGCGCAAAACTAAACACGAGGAAAGCGGGGCGCTGCCCAAGGACCTGAATAACTCCACTGCCGTACAGGACATCGAACTGGCTGCTTCGATCGTGGCCGCCATTGCCAGTGACGTCGCTTTCTATCCTTGCGAAACCATCATTCATCGGATACATCTGCAAGGTGAGCTGCTGAGATATAACAATTGTACGTGGTCACAGCCGCGGTGAGAGAAATGCAACACCGCATCGCCGTGATCCGAAAGTCCTACTCTTAACTTCATTGCTAACAGTGCTAATGTAATGTCAATTCCAGGATTTGAAATAATTAAACTTTAATGGAAAATAGCAAGGAATAATGGGTTAGGTCACAGTTCAGGTTTCAGTCAGTTTCCTAGATAAAATAGACAACCGTCAAGTCCCATTTTACATCGACCATTCAATTGCGAGGCCAGATCTTTCCTAGTTGAGGAAGAATCCATTTTGAATTATTGAATCCCAACTTATCACCTAGTAAAACTTGGACCTGCATCTCATTCAACACTACAACTGGAGAAGTTATTTTCAATACATCTGACTGGGAACCTAATTGATAAAAATAAATTTTACTTTCTATCTGGACATTCCAATTCCAACTATCAATTTTCAATTATTCTGCATATACCTCAACTAGCTGATCATAATTGAGAATGAGGTGGGATTTTTCAAAATCAAATATTATTCATGTATAACAGCTAAACATATCTTCGGGATACGTACTTAATGACGTATAGTAGATTTGAAGAGATGAGTTCATATATTTTTCAACGAAATGAATTGCACACACTGCAGAAAGTTGAGATGAGGTCCAATTTTTAGGAGGTATTGCAGAATACACTTTTTTCGTAGTTCATCTTGAGGAAATGTGAAAATTGAAACCAACTTCTTTTCAGAAGCGTAATTTGACCACCCTCTCACACAACAATGATTCGACATCTTTTTATAAGAAACGTTGAAATAACTCACATTGGTTTTTTTTATGGATTTTCACACACACACAAACACCCTTTCACATATATCTCAATTACTAGAATGATATTCCTTACACTTTTCACTGGCTTCTAACAATATTTCACATTGATAACACATCAATTTACTCTTGGAATCCAAACAAGTTCACTTCCTTGCATTAATAGGCCATATATTGTTTGTGCAAATGTCCGGCCGAAAGACCTTGCGGACAGTGTTGCCTATACTGCTCCCCGCGGCTTTCTTCAGAGCCGGTTATGACAGGGTGTTTCGAAAAAAGAAGGCCCCGTTGCTAGGATAGGTCGAAAACTGTAAAATAAGTTGGGCTTGCCAAAATTCATTGTGGCGAATTAACTCGTGAAGGGTGATTATTAATATTCGCAAGTCAATTCAGCAACTCCTTCTTGTTTCTTTAACGTCGGCCTCTTTCTGCTACTGAGGCACTGAGCAATTTGGTATACTTGCTACCCACCAAAGCTACCCACCAATTTTCAAAACCCTATCTCGAATAATTCAAAAGTTGCAGTCCTGTCCGTTTTATGTGCACTTCTCTGTTTATCAGCCCATGTTTTTTGTGGATGTTGTGGTGATGTTCCGGGTAAGGTAACTTCCAGCAATGTGGTAATTGTAAAATTTGTTCGAAATTTCATTAGTGTATTCCTGAATTCTCGGCCAACTACCACATCTCTCGTGGAGATCTGCCACTCGCGAGTGAACGGCTAGTGCCTTACCTGAGAAGCTAGGGCGATGCCCAGCAACTTATATTAGTAGTAGTGGTAGTAGTAGTTTATATTCTATTTAGAAATTCACAAGAAATCTTACATCGTAAAAAAAAAACATTTTTCAAGAGTTTAAAAGCAGCACAAAATATTGTAAAAAGATAAAAGTATATAACAAATAGTACACCATACAGAACTAGTATAAATTTTTCAAATTTCTCATGAAATCAATATCAATAATATTTTGAAAAGCATTCTTCAGTAAAAATGATTTTATCACAGATCTGAAACGAAGCATATTCAAGTTAGAGTCACTGAATGGTATTAGTTTGATAAGAGTTCGGACACAGCTGAACTTTTGTCCTTTTCTATTTTCTATAATAAAAAGGTGGATATATGTATGGTGAAATACCTCCCTCTTACAAAACCCTAGACATTTTTGTAGACCTCTGGCCTACTTGATTATGTCGAATTCTATCACCGTAGTAAGGCCGCGCAAAACTAACGCTAGATGGCGCTGTTCCCGAAGTGATCTTGCTACACAATGGTTGTTTTGTTTTGTTGTTTACATTCACGTATATTGATTCGTAATTTGAAAACATTGAGAAAAAGTGATTGATTAAATGAAAAAGACGTGAAATTTTCATTATATCTGTGAATTATATGTGGCACGATGTTCCCTACGCCATCTACAGTCAATCCGGTGCGGCCTTGCTACGGTGTTTCGCGGTCTACACGTTTTGGAAAGAAACAATTGACAAGTGGTTACACCAGTCTATTTTCATCATGTATAATACAATGGTTTAGGTCATATATTCGGCTCTTTGTCTTTTCAATTTCCCTAGTAGTGCCTGATTGTCAGATACGATTTTAGAGGTTATATTTTCTGTCAAATCAATCATAGCCGTAGATGGACAATGGGTATAGGGTACAAACACCCAATTCAATTTATAGTGATACACTTCTAACAGAACAACTGTTATATAAATGAAAAGAATGCATGTAACAACATTTTTATATTAGAAAATATACACATATGGATGAACTTTTATAGCTATAATTCCTTATTATATGTGAAACTGTACTCCAGTGATGAGTATAAAACATGATAGATAGATATTCTCAATATACAGGAAGTAACATAAGTACTTTAAAGTGAAGTATTCCTGAGACAATTATAAGAAATAAAGTCTATATAAGCTTTTGTGTCCGGAAATGCATTATTTCGTAGATACAGAGTGCTGAAATACAAAGAATAAATCATTTTTCGATAAACATTTGATAGGAAAAAAGTAGTTTATTTTGACGAGACCTACCAAATACTTGGTTTTGTAAAGTTCTCAGCAACTCCACTTAGCGCCCTAGGAGCTAATAAGTAACATGGATCGATATAGAAAATATCTCCAAAACATTAACCTCAAGCGTAATTAAGGCCCTTATAATAATTCCCTTGATACATAAATAACTATTCACTGTCCATTGTTGAATTTTAAATTTGGTCGGCACCAAAAACGCCATTCAATAATATATCACTCTGTAGTTTACTTGCTTTTCTTAGTTTCGTTTTCAAATTCTCAATTTCATTATGTAATTTTGCGATCATTTCCTCTTTTCCATGATCATTTCGTTTTGTATTTTGTGTGATGATAATAATGGAAATTTGTTCTCGAAATCGCCTGCTTTGTAAACTGACGGAACAGCAGATTCTCACAAACAGAATTTGAAATCTTCTGTTTGAAGATGGGACTAAAATATAGTTTCATTCTAATCAGATGCTGTTATAAAAAGTGAATTTTAATGAGTACCTCACAAATTTCGCTCGTCTTCAAATTGATTTTGCACCCATCAGGCCATTTCATATCTTCCTTCCATAAGCGAATGGTTGATATTTGTTTCGGAAAATTGAATAAATGATATCCATTTTCTTCAGAATTGGCACAATTTATTACACAGCAAGTAATTTCCATAGCTGCTTTCATCTCGAATGTATAATTATGAAATTTTATTTCAATTCTGACGTTTATAAAATGTATTGTCAAATTCAAACAATTTTGAATGAAAACGCGCAGGACGACTATGGTGCTCTTGTCACAATGCAAGGTGTGAAACTTAATAAATCTAAACACTCAAAAACCCTAACCGTTGTTATTTCTGTGTCCGAACTCTTATCAAACTAATAACATCCAGTGACTCTAATTCAAGTCGTTGATATCTTCTTTCAAGTTATTGTAGCTCAACAAACCGTAGTAAGAGGTTCCACTCTTTGATCTGTTCAGGCGTAATGAATTTGGATAAATGTGTTTGCATTATCTAGTATTGTAATCATGATTATGCAACGTAAATCTATCAGAGTTATTTTTTAAAAATGTTAGACATTCCAGAATATAAACATAAATAGGCCAATTTTTGCAGGCACCCGCACTATCGTAGACAACTTGGATACGGGCATGTCGGTGTTGCCGATCTTGACGAACTACACAGGCGCCATCGATTGCTACGAGAGTTGTCTGGCCAACGAAGGTGTCGCCGGTTTGTACAAAGGGTTCGGGGCCCTCGTCCTGCAGTACATCGCGCATATCGCTCTTATCAAGATGTCCCATTTCGCGTTGACACAATTGGGGACTTTGCTGCAAGGTTCAGCTGAACCCAGCGCTAAGCCGGTCAAGTTATCTCCGCCTGTCATTTCTAATGTGGCGAGTCAGGGTAGCTCTTATCTGCTGCCGTGAAATTAGCATTCGCAATAGGAATTAAAAATTGTGTAAATATTGATGGATGGATTTTTCCACCACTAGACCTAGAACATAAAATTACCGTCAAATGAGGTAACTTCGAACATTTTCTACAGTTTTTTCGCCATATTACATTTTGAAGCTATTTTATTTCTTCGTGAAATTAGCACATTAATGTATCGAATTGTCCATATCGCCCTCATCAAGTTGTCTCATTTCGCGCTAAAACAGTTGGAGGCGTTGCTGCAAAGTTCTGCGGAGCCCAACGCTAAGTTGGCATTGGATAGTAACAGTTTATTCGCCATAACCTTCCGGAAATTAGTTTTATTCCTCGGAATATGATTCACCAACTTAGCACATGATGTATTGATTTATCCAATTGTGAAGATGTCGTGACTTCGGACTGATGAGAAAAACCATGTGAAACCGATATTCAGCTACTCCACTGTCACCTTCAGACATTTCAAAAATCGTTAAGAACATGGAAATTACATTATTGAAAGAAGTGTGTCCGACTTGTTTGATCTTGTGGTATTAGTTCGGACCATAGAAGTCAATCAATCAATAAACTTCATCATTCCCAAGAAACAACATTTGTTCATAGCAAGGAACATGGTGAATATATAAATATATTTGACAAAATGAAGAAGACACAGTAAAATAAGACTCTCACTCAAGAAGAAATAATTTTTTTCAAGTTCAACTGAAAGTGAGTCTTAATTGACTCAGATGTTAGGTACCCAATTGAAAACTATAGTAGTTGTACCAGAAAACTATAAAAATGAGATAATATGTCAATATTACAGGAGTAGATGTTTCTTGAATTCCTTTTTAAATTTTTCAATTCTATTAATCAGTTTCAAGTTAGTTGGCAGTGAATTGTATTGTATCATTCCATTGTGATGAATGGATTTTTTACCAATATCTGATTTAATTTTCTTGATACAAAAATGATCTGCTTGTCTATTTGTATGGTTGTGGTGACCACTATCAATTTGGAAAACCAAATTTGAATGCTTTTGACAATATTTAACTGAATGAATGAATGAATGATGATAATTTGAATTTATAAAGTGAATTTATATCTAATAACTCTTAGTCAACAAAATCATAACATATCATAACTCAAAACAAACCATATGAAAAGTGTCTTACTGTTAGATGCCTGCACCTCATTTTATCCTAGCTAATCTTGGAACTAATAGAATATTTTGAAGTTCAGAGTAAATTGAATGTGACCAGCAATAAATTACCAATTAACTGATCACCTACTAAATAGTAATTTCGAATCATGGCATTCCTTGCACCATCTTGCACATAAGTTCAATTCGAGGATTTCATAGAGACTTGGCAACAGCAGCGTGCTTCCCAGCCGTTACAAACTCCAACCAATCAAATTGCAAGGTGACACTGACATTTCAGCTCAGTGGCCTTTTAATTTAGTGGTATTGAAATAGCATTTTCGATATTGAATATTTCATTTGTAGTTCGATTTTCGCGATAAATATGTGGCCAGGATAACGTTTATTCCCTTCATGACATTATAGCAAAAAAGGGTCAACATTTACGATAGTGGAAAGGCCCCATTACCGAAGTTAAAAGGGCGAACTTACTATTCCACACCAGAATCACTCACTATCGCCGATTCTGATGAGAATAATAATAATAATGAACGGTTATTCATTTAGTTCATTCCTACTCATTCATTGGTATTACGTTATGGAAAAATATTTATATAGTTTACAAATACATTGTTACATATAATACAATAAATACATACAGAACTGGAAATAGAATAAACAAGAGTTGTTCCCAAAGGAGGGTTGACATTTTACATTTTACCAGTTGATACCTACTCCAGATCGGTTGAAAATCCACTCAAGTATATGTCAGCAGAGTGGTTTACTTGTAGTACCACTCTGTAGCGTATAGACGTAAGGGTCTGTACTTGTGACTATAGATGGCTGCGCCATACTGTGTGTGTCGCGATTTCTTGATCCTACCTTAGAGCTTTGCCACTAGATGGCTACATCATGACTAGAATTTCATGTTATACCCTGCGTCAACTTCATGAGGTTCGTGAGGAGGGAGATTAGATAAAGTTGATCAGTTCAGAAAAATAAACTTGTGTGGAACCGACAACTCCGCCAATCATTCCTGTAGTAAATTAATAGTGAAACTTTGTTTGTATAGAGGATCGTTGGGTTATGGTTTTGTTTACATAAGGTTCTGTTTGGATCGTGTAGAGTAGGGATATCAATTTTTTTTTTGTTTTGTTTTCTTCGACTGCCAAATTTAAGAATGATAGTTGTCTCACATCCAGAACGTTACTATATAAGTTTGAATAGTTCGTCTGTCGGAGATACATTATAGGCTTGTCATATATTATTTTCAGTATCCATAGTTTCAACTTTTTTCAGAACATTGTTATCCTCCCCATGCAATTAACCATACCTCAATTGAATAAACAAGCAAGATGGTTGAGTCGAAAGCCAAGATAGTTGAGTCGATAGCGATCCCCCTTCAGCGTTATTCTCGATTGAAAGCGAAAAGAACCAATAATTGTCCGAAGTCACACACTGTCCGAAGCGACCTCATTCGACGGTATAGTCTATCCAAAGTTAGTTGGAGCGCCCCGAGCAAAGAATGTCCACTACGTGCACGGACTTCAAATCACCAGATACCGCACGGCGTTTTTTTTGCTCGATGAGCTCAAACTGACTGAGTAGACTATACCTACTCCTTTTCAAGCCGTGGACTGGTTTTTCACTAGGTACCGAAATGGTTTTTTTCAATCAATAATACGATGTAGGTACCGATATCTGCATGCGAGAATTTAACTATCCTAACATAAGCCAAAATGTGGAAAAAGGAGAAGGAAATAATCTATTACCTTTATGAATGAATATTCGGGAAATATAGATACCTTAGATGAACGAACAGACTAGGAGAATGATCCGATAGTATATTTTATCGTTCCGACTTAACTGAAATTTACTGGCGACGTTTTCGCGGATCATTGCAAGAAACCCTGTTAGAGGCTAAAAGTTTACTGTTGGCCATTGGTGCAGAAATGGTGATGTAGTGTCAGTATTCATGGAACGTTATGTTAGGTTAGGCGTTTGAATGGTCTCGTTGAAGATGGCTATGGTTAGGTATGAATCAATGAAAATTATATATTATTATTTTCAAATACTTTGGGAAAATGTATGAATTCGAACTGGAAGATCTCACAGAGGCAGTAGACGCTGAAACTGCCACTAATCTACAAGATGGTTTGTTATTCCCACTTTTGATATCAAATATTTCACAGCTATGCTTCATTTATTCATTACTGGGACTAGAGTTACTTGAGCTTGGTGTTTCTGATGAATCAGAATCACTATCGGATATGTCTTTCAAGATTTGATGAATCACTCCATCCATAATTCCGACGTGAGTATAGATAATGATGATAATAAGGATGATGGAAATAAAAAACTAACAAAACAAATCATCGAAAATCGAAAGTTCATAGGTTATGGTCATGTTTTGCTGCCAATGTACCAGAGCTGCCAAAATAGTTCCGAAATGAAATGAAAATTCAAAGCTACTGCTACTGTTTGGTCTTCCTGAATTGCTCACTGTATGCAGTAATGTCAGCTATATCGGAACATGACCTAGATGAATAACGCCATCACCAAAATGGTGTCAACAAGCAGTTTTATTTTCTTCATCGGGTATCTTCCGACACCCTTCGGCTCATTCGACTGTTGTGATTGAATGTTGGTGTATTCTAGACTATTAGTTGCACAAAATACCATAAGAGTATCATTTTAGTCCAGTCATTATATCCAAATAACGGACCTTACCCGTGAATAATTTTTTAGTGTTTTTTTTTTCATAGGTGTCTCGGGGGGGTCACTGGGAGTGTAAATACAAAATGGCGACCAAATCAAGCTCTTGCGTATGTATGCGAAAACTTTTTTTTTTGTTAAAAAACGGTTTTTCTTGAATAACTCGGCCATTTTTGATTCTACTGAAAAAGTTTGGGGACCATAGTTGTAGTAAATTTGGTTCTCTACAAGTTTGGTCCTTACAATTTTTCTGATAGGATCGATATTTTGTAAATTAAACCTGAAAAAAGCGACAAATTCGAAATATTTTCATTATCTCGTTTATTTTCGACTTTACGGCATAAATGAACAGGAACAAACTTGTAGAGAATCAAATTTTGGACAAATTTTGTCTTGACCTGTTTTTCCGAAAATCGATATTTTCGGAATTAAACCTAAAAAAAAACGACTCATTCGAAATATCATCATTATCTCGTTTATTCTCAACTTTACACCATAAATAAGATGGAACAAACTTGTAGAGAATCAAACTTTCGACAAATTTGGTCTTTACCTGTTTTTCGGAATCCAGAAAATATGTACCCATTCAGGAATATTCTGCAGGTGCAACGAATAGGGCGTAAGTTGTATACAATAAAATGAAAATGATAATGAGAATATTTCGAATTTGTCGCTTTTTCAGGTTTAATTTACAAAATATCGATCCTATCAGACAAATTGTAAGGACCAAACTTGTAGAGAACCAAATTTACTACAATTTTTGTCCCAAAACTTTTTCTGTAGAATCAAAAATGGCCGAGTTATTCAAGAAAACCCGTTTTTCAACAAAAAAACAGTTTTGAGCTTGATTTGGTCGCCATTTTGAATTTACACTCCCAGTGACCCCCCCGAGACACCTATGAAAAAAAAAACACTAAAAAATTATTCACGGGTCAAAGTCTATAATGACTGGACTATTTGTGCCACGTAAGATGTATAATGGAAGAAAATGGGTCATTTCACAGGTGAATAACACCGAAAAAATTGAAGGGTTGATTTCTTGTAATATTTAAGGAAATAAAGTTCATATAAACATGTGTCCTAACTTGATTCGTTATCGAGATAAAGGGTAGTAATATTTCCAAGAAAACTCGTTTTTCTATTCATTACTCAGTTGTTTTTCCATCAATTGCAATAAAACGTTGTGGTTTTGTTGATAGTAATATGAGGCTTCTTCTGGTGCAATTAGATTCGAAATAATATTTCCAGTGGCGTCACAGTGGGTAAATTTATCAATATTTATGGTGAAAATCATTGTACGCCACCGGTTTTTCTGAGTTTCATATTTTTATTAGATTGAACTATTGTAATAACAATTTTTTATCCTTTGTGTGATTTTAGTATCTACCTTATTTTTTGAGAAAACAATAAAAATTCGATTTGACTCCAAATTTTAATGTACCTAGGTGTGTTTTTTAAGACTTACATTGAGATTACTCAATAACCTCAATTAGAATCATTTTGAAACTTTGGGACTTTCTCAGTCTCCCACCATACTGAATGTTGGCACCATGAAAGCTTATACAGGGGGGTTATAAATGAAAACAATTAATACTTCCAACTTCAACATCCTGTATCTCAAAAACGGAGCAAGTTAGGACACATGGCTATATGAACTTTATTTGCTAGAATATCAGAAGGAATCACCCCTTTTTTTGGTGTTATTTACAAACATTATTGTTTCCTCTCCCTCCTGGTGCCGCCTAATAAAAATTTGGTATACAGTGTGTCCCACTTACCATGCTCACCATGGGTATCTTTTTAACGGTGAGAGATACGAAGTCGGTTAAATGACACCAAATGTGGAGTTTGTCAAGGCCAACTATAATGTGAAAAAATATTTTGATAAAATCTATTCGTTTTTGTTTTATACGCAAAAAACAGATTTCGATCATTTCCATGTCTCCTCCATAACTTCTTTATTTATGAAAATATTCAAATAGGAATTTCACATCCTCATGGCAGTTTTTCAAAGTGATTTCGAAAAAAATATGAAATTTATACCAACTCTTCTAGAATTCGAGATATCAGCACCAACTTCAGTTTTTCAAATGTAGGTCATAGCTCACTATGACTTAGTTACAAATAACTTTTTTTTCTCTTACAGATGATATGTCGCAGTAATAGTTTTGTGTTGATAACAACGGAGTTATCGTCATTTATACAAAAACAAAAAAATATTTGGAAGCCGCCATCTTGAATTTATAAATTTTAACAAAAAAATCATGATCTCCGACCTCGAAAACCCCCACTCAACAATTTTGAATGGAATCGGACCAAATCTTGTCCGCCATCTTGGAGCAGCCATTTTTTTTTAATTTAACAAAAATTCCATAATGTATTTTCACCGAAATCATGAACACCAGCCAAATTTCAAGTTAATCGGAGTTATGGAATTTTTGTTGAAATTAAAAAAAATGGCTGCTCCAAGATGTCGGACAAGATTTGGTCCGATTCCATTCAAAATTGTTAAGTGGGGGTTTTCGAGGTCGGAGATCATGATTTCTTTGTTAAAATTCATAAATTCAAGATGGCGGCATCCAAATAATTTTTTGTTTTTGTATAAATGACGATAACTCCGTTGTTATCAACACAAAACTATTACTGCGACATATCATCTGTAAGAGAAAAAAAAGTTATTTGTAACTGAGTCATAGTGAGCTATGGCCTACATTTGAAAAACTGAAGTTGGAGCTGATATCTCGAATTCTAGAAGAGAGTATAAATTTCATATTTTTTTCGAAATCACTTTGAAAAACTGCCATGAGGATGTGAAATTCCTATTTGAATATTTTCATGAATAAAGAAGTTACAGAGGAGACATGAAAATGATCAAAATCTGTTTTTTGCGTATAAAACAAAAACGAATAGATTTTATCAAAATATTTTTTCACATTATAGTTGGCCTTGACAAACTCCACATTTGGTGTCATTTAACCGACTTTGTATCTCTCACCATTAAAAAGATACCCATGGTGAGCATGGTAAGAGGGACACACTGTATGTGTGACCCAAACAAACTGTCTAAAGCTGTGTGTGAATGTTGTGAATAGGCACTTTCAATGTGTGCTTTCAATAATCAGTATGTCTCTGAGTGCAACTTCATCCATATATCATATTGTTAGGTTTATTTTGAATATTCTTGTTCTATCTAGTCTAATCGTTCATCTGAGATAGAAACAACGTTTTGAAGATATTTCTAACATGATCAAAAACGAACAGCTGATATAGACGCCTGAAGTTGGCTGTTGGCTGCAAAACCTGCTGCATCAATTCGTTTAGAACAGTTAAGATTGACCAGTGTAGCTTGAGACGAGTAACTTTGAAATAGCTTTGAGAAAATAAGAGTTCTTCAGGAAAAGATGAGATATTACCGATTTTATGTTGAGAGTTTATTTCCACTCACCCGGTCAGCCAGAATAGTTTCAGTGATAAAACCTGAAAAGTTCAATATCTACAGATTTTTCCTTCTAGTCAGTATTGTTTATATAAGATAGAACGAAATGAATTATATAAATTATACTATCCTCAATGACTACGATTTTCTGTGTTATTTTCCCAACCCAATAAGTCAAGTATGAGTAGATCTTCGAGAAATACTAGTTCAAATCACTAACATAAACTTCTATCTAGACCGCTAATGCTATAAGAAAGAAGCTATGCAGCTCAAGAGATCGAACTGGAGAACATGAATCATGCGCATTTAGGACTGTCACAATATATCTTACTCTTACTTATGTTTCCGAACACCAAGAGACATGACTGGATGTCATGAACGACATTTTGGGAGTTCCTGTGCATTAAGCAAATGCGTTTTCAGGCGAGCAATTTACTCGAGATTTCCGGGTTGCTGAGTGTTGAAATAATAAATTGACTGAAATTATATTATTGACGCACTCTGTATTGTCAGATATGTTTGAAATCACATCTGTGTATTGTCAGTGAATGTTTTGTTTTTAGTTGTGAAAATAAATATTTTGAAGTTGCCAAAAATATTTTTCTGCTCCAATTTTTTATTCCAGGAAAACCCAATTATCAACACTGAGGAATGACATATAGCGGTATAGATAGTAGTTATGTCAGTGGTTCAAATACCCTCAAGCAACCCTTGAGGATCTACAGGGCCTTCAAGTGCTTGAGGTCCATATAGTGTTTCAAAAGATATATTCATCAGCAGTGTCAAAAATTCAAACATGCCATCACATTGTGCTGTTGTCTAATGCACAAAAAATGCGAAAATCCGATTTTTCAGGTAGATAGGTACATTGTGACTTAAAATACTATAGTCTCACTCTCCTGCTGCAATAGGATCTAATAGAAATACTCGTGAAGTGTCTAAATGAAGGCAAGAAGATTGGATTCATGTATTCAATAAACGGGAGTACTGGACTGACATGCTGACGAAGTATATGATCTGTGTGTTGTAGACATTTTCACCCTATTAGTGGTATTAGCTTCAGTCTATTGCAGAAGTGGTAGAAGGATTTTCAATGAAAAATGACCAAAGTTTTATAATGAAAACTAGAAGTATATGAGATCGCTATATTCCCTCGTCTCTCGCTGTATTTTTTGCATGGTACAACAACACAATGTGATGGCATGCTTGAATTACTGAATATCCCAAATAATCACGATTCCTATGCCAAAATATTGTGATAAACTATTTCAATATCTTGATTTCTTTGTAAACAAATACGAAAGGTGAGGTTGTGTTTCAAGTTTCAATGTTTTACAGAAAAGTTAGATTGTGTTTCAAAGTTTTACCTTCATATTGGATTACTCCTAACCTGTAAATTCTCCAGCAATCATTAAAACAGGAGTCAAGAAGGTCACGAGAAAAAGTTCGTTGAGATTGTCAACTATCACCATTTTAATTCAAATATGTACATGGTCTTTTTTGCGAATAAATAATTATATACCTTAACTGGACACCAGATTATTCAATGATAATGCGATGTGGACACAACTACAGATTGGGTAGGTATTGAAATTTTTTGGTTCAATAAATAATGCCTATCTTTTTGATCAGGTGAAGACGAAGTCGGATTCAATAGTCACATCCCATGGAGGTTGAAACATCTCGGGTGGCAGATTGACGCAATGCGTCGATTTGAAATCTTTCATATAATTTTTCGCCTAAAAAAATAATATAATATTTTATTCAATGTCCCATGAATTACGTTACGTGTGGGGAAAAGTTTAATACTAGAGTATCAAAAAAACTGATCATTGGTATGGCGGTAAATTGAAAAAAAAAATGATTATGAAGAGGCAAACAATGGGTTTAGATGGCAAGATATCGGAAGTTGACTGAGAAAGATGCTTAGTATTCAATTTTATACTCACCATACAGAGTTTTGAGCATTTATTCAAGGACATTGAAAAGAGCTTTGTTTGAATATTTTACGATTTCGCTACAATACTCTTTTTTTTTGTGACGGGAAAAAAATTGGACATTTCATCTCTGTTAACAGGTTATATAATGTCGTTTCATAAATAATTTTTTCCCACGGGAAAAAAGTGAAGATTTCAGTGGCTTAATTTTCAGATCAAAATAAGAAATTTTTTTGTCTATAAACATATGTCCGCAAACGCTTCGTTGCCGATCTACAGAGCGTTGAAATTTCAAGTTTCTTTCCTTTTTTTCTTTATAGCTCTTCTAGTTTTCGAGATATTCAGATTAACTTTGGTACAAAGCCTTAGTTTTAGGGTTCACATTATACAGGATGTCGAATAATGATAATAATAATAAATCGGCTTTATTAACGGGATGGATACACATTCATAATGTGCAACACTCATTTTGGCGAAGACTAGCTAATAGCTACTCAATCTCCACCAAATAAGGTGACAGGATATAATACATAATGATGAGAAATCGTAAAAAAAAAATAAATCAGGTTATTAGGAATCTCGAGTTTTCTGTCAATATCTTCTTCCAAAATCACATCAAACCAGGTTAATGCTTGGAGGTCGATCAAAAGAGAATCGATGTTGAGGTATTTGAAAGCACCGATAAGTTACACTTTTCGGTTTCATTTCAAGTCGATTCAATTTATATTATAAATCTACTAACATAATAGAGGGCAATATACCCGATGATTTTGTGGATAAATTCGTTTTTATTCACAAGAAATGAATCAATGAGTTTACTAGATGTGGCTGTGATTCTCGTTGGCTCAGTCAGAATTTGTTCAAACCCGTATATTGTAAGAATCTACAGGGAGATATTTTTCCAGGGGTCAGGCCCTTTTTCGTCCCATAAACTTTTTTGTGGTGCGCCACTAATAGATGTAAAAATACGGACTGGTTTCTTTGTTTTGTTTGTGAACTTTCTTGTCTCCTGTAATATTTACGTATCTGCGACCGTTATCGAGAAAAAAATCTTTTTTTTTTGTGATTTGCTATAGTTTCAACAAGAAAGATGAACCTTTTATCACAAACAAAAAACGCTACTCATTTAGTTCGTGATCTTTAATACAAGTTTCAAAATGTAGCCTAAAGAATGAGATACCGAACGGTCCTTAACTTCTTATAAAATATGTTGGAAATAAAAAAAATCTTGAAATTTCAACGCTCTCTATATCGGTAACAAAGCGTTTGCAAACACATGTTAATAGGAAAAAGTCTTATGTTGACCAAAAAAATAAATCCCTAAGATCTTGATACTGAATTCTGAAACACCCTGTATGAAAAGTATCTGGAGAACTGAACGACTGATCATTTCTAAAATTTGTGGGCATCGATAATCAAGCATGCTCTATCCATCTGAAATATTTTCGACAATGCGGTGTTGCCAAAATCGAGAATTTTGAACGTTAGTATTTGTTTGTGTCGAAACTATCTATCATCGGTCAAAACGGCTTTCATGTCTCTATCTTAACTTTTGATTTATTATCTTCTGACATTTGATTTGAACAAATACAGGGTGATCAGAATTCTGAATCTTGAAACACCATGTATTTGTTCCATCAAATGTCAGATAGTAAATCAAAAGTTAAGATAGGGACATTAAAGCTGTTTTGACCGATGATGGATAGTTTCAACAAACAAATCCCAAAGTTGAAAAATTTTGATTTTGAACACCCTATATCTGTGTGAGCATTCCTGCTAGACCCCGAGTGTGATATTGATGAAATGAGATCTTCAGGGAGAATCTAAAAATGCAATGAAATACAGGGTGTTCCATTTGAAATAACATAGTTGCTACTACTTTCTAATAGAAGCGGCAACACCGCATTGTCGAAAATATTTCAGACGGATGAAGCATGCTTGATTATCCACGCCCACAAATTTTCGAATTGATCTCTCGGTCGGTTCTCCAGATACGTGTAATGTTCCATCCACCGTGAAAGACCTTGTAAACATTAAAAATAAGCCAATAACACCATCTCCGAGAAAGAACTACAAGTACACAATCTTCCATTTCCATTTCGCGGTTACGTTACTAAAAAGTCACTAAGCTCGCAATTTATTGAAATCAAATCACGGAATTATACTGACAAATATTTGATTACTTTAGAGGAATGATAGAGATGCCTGTAATTCCTGTTAAAAACTTGAATTTCATGTCGATCATTTTCTGATTTTAAGATAATGTTATATCTTCCTCAATATTTTTCTGTCACAGAAAAAAATTGTGTATTATACACGGGAAAATATTAGATTGTAGCTCATGGGTATTGGCCTCTCTCCGTTGACAATCACTATATTTCCTGAATATGTTGACACTAGTAATGTACTTTTATGGAAACTATTTGTGAATCAGTAAATTATTGTGGCAAATTTCAACCGATTGAATGAGAATGTGACTAAATTTGTGATTTTGAGTCCTCAAATCCAATCAGAAAATTATGAATTATAAAAGTGGAAGCATTAGAACGAAAAAAATCAGTTCACTAGCCTATTCGAATTTGCAACAATTATTGTTTATTGAAAAACTAGCTTCCAGTCAGAAATAAAATTCTGGTATGAGGAAGTTGATTACAAACAACAATAATAAAATAATATAAGGTGACAACAACAACAACAAAAAAATATCTAAAAAATCTAAAAATGCTAAATCGATCAAGTCATAAAAATAGCCACAGGGACTAATCAATAGATGGCAAAGTATAAATTTTATTCATTTCGTAATGAAATCATGTATTTTTTTAATTCAATTTTAAATTTTGAAATATGTCTGCAATTTTTTATATTATGTGGTAATTTATTAAATTCAGCTAGAGCAGCGTGAGTAAATTTTCTTTGGCCAATTATAGAAGTAGCAGAATCGAGATGAAATAAGTTTGATTGTCTCGTGTGATGACCATGAATTTCTGAGTTTCTTATCAAAATAAAATTGGATTTCAGATTATTGTTTATTATATTATATGAAACTTTAAGAGAACCTATTTTATATAATTCATCCAATGAAAATTTTTCTGTTATGGCATGCAGATCATTTGTTGGGATATCAAATGAGAGGCGATACAATACTGTCAGTGCTTTCTTATAAAGTGCAGATATTTTACTGAAATAAGTTTTTGAACAAGATCCCCAAACGTTTATCATATAGGTAATACGACTGAGTATATGAGAATGAAGTACTATGTTTATGACTTTTTTATCAAGTTTAGGACATCTTCGCAAAGCTCCAATGATCGGAGATATCAGAACCTCCATATGCTTGTCCCACTTCAATTTTTCATCAATCCACAAACCAAGATACGTTATTTGTGTAGTTCTTTTCAATACTTTATTTTTAATTTGGAGATTGAAACTAATATTCTGTTTATTTTTTTGATGAAATATTATATATTCAGTTTTATTGGTGTTAATTGATAAAATGTTTGAATATAGCCATTTTTCAAAATTTTTTCAAATCTTCGTTAATAATATTTTCTAGAATGATGGGGTTTTTGTTTTCGTATAGAAGTACAGTATCATCTGCATATATAGTATAATTACCTGACAATCCAATTTTAGAAATATTTTGAATATATAATAAATACAAGATGGGCCCTAAAACAGATCCCTGTGGAACACCTTTACTTATTGGAAATTTATTAGACTCTGACATATTACATTTAGTGCTGATTGTCCTATTCGCAAGATGAGATTCTAAAAGATTTTTAACAATGCCTCTGAGTCCCATCGATTCCAAGTATTCTAAGAGATTCTTGTGGTCAACTGTATCAAATGCCTTCTTAAGGTCAATGAAAATAGCTACAACGTAATTTCCCGTATCAAGACCTTCTTGAATTTTTTGTACTACTTGTAGTACTGCTGCTTGTGTACCACTATTTTCTTGGAATCCGAACTGATTATTATCAAATGGAAATAACGTTTTATAAGAAATCCAGGGCAAACTTGATAAATTGCCATCATTGTACCAATAGGAAAAAATAAGGAAGAATGTACAGGGTGGGCCAAAACCTCAGGCACTGAAATCAGTCACCATATTCCTAGTTTCAAAATAGAACTTTACCTTCAAGAAGAACAAGTTATACTCTTGAACAAGATATAAGAAGACCGATTTCAGTGTCTCAGGAATGCAGTTATTTTCATGAAAACATACAATTTTTGCCAAAAACAAAAATTGTAGCCACTTTTCAAACATGCCTATTTTCGAAGAACACCTTGTAACTCCGAAATGATATGCGGTTTTACCATTGAGTTTTGCATGAGAATTGACCCTCAGGCACCGACATCAGTTTTCTTCTATCTAGTTGGAGAATAGGACTTTTCCTTTAAAAGCGTCCGATTTGTACAATTTACAATGAATTTCCATTTACTTACCAGGTATAATGCCATTTTTGATTTATCTTGGCTACTGAAATCCTCTCCAATCTTCATGGGATAACTCTTTGAATACTCTGAAATGTATGACTGCAACAAAGACTGGCAAACTCTTTCATCTACAGAATATTTCGCGAAAAACTCTGAAAAAGATATCATTTACCCAGTGAGATATATTCAATGGAATCTATACAGTGACTTTAAAATCGCTTTCATACTTTCAATATGGATTTCCACCAAAAACGTATTTTGCAGATATGACGTCGCAAAGACGAATGATGTTAATAAGGCTAAACTGATCCTGCTCTCAAATTACCCCGCACCGCATCAATGGGAAATTGGCTTTCGGTGAATTTACTCGAATTTGCTGATCAAATGTCTCCATTGCACCAACGCTCTAAAATCAACAGTTACGATTATATAGGGTGATAAAGTTGACTTTTGAAGAATTTTAGATAGACATTGTGAAGACACCTTCCATTTCGAAACCAAATCAACTGTGCATTGATTGTTCGAATGACCGATACGAATCTACTATAAAGTATAATGATTCCTGCACGTACCAACAATATACAGGGTTGGTCGGAACATAGCGAATAATTCAGTGATTTTCTGAAAAGTGTGCGGTGGAATTTCATTCAAATTCTGTTGTACACAAATATCATCCCCATTTCATGATATAAGCATCTCCTAATCAGATATATTATATACAAGATGTTTTATTTTTGATGAAGTCACATTCATGTTAGGTACTTACTCGGGTACTTATTATTGGCATCCTCAATATGACTTTCAACTTGAACAACCTATGATGAATGTCCACTCTGCAAATCCGTGAAATATACGGAGTGGATGAAAAATCAATGGTCTTTGCTAATAACTTCTCAAGAGTAGTATGTGCAGATTCTTGTGACCCATCTTATTGACCCTGTTTCATAACGACATTATAATCAATAAAACTAATTTGAACTATTCAATGCAGTATATCTTTAATAACATGTTAGATCCATAAATTCGAGAATGTGGAAGCCCCCTTTGGTCTCGCCTTTCAATAGCGATTTCTCGCTTCATTTCATTTGGTTCTCCCTCAAGTCGTACCATATTTTGTATATTGAATGCTGAATGACACGTAAAACAATTATTCAATCGGCGACGATTAGCCATTTTTCAAATAATTATTATTAACATGGAGTCCATCATGAGAAGAGATCACCGTAATTGAATGAAATCAAAGATTCATTCGGCATTTGTAAGAATTTATCATTCGTCCTCACTCAATATTCTATTATTTTATATTACCATGATTTCATGATGATATTATATAAAAAACTGTCTGTAGGTTAATTGAGGAGGTGAAATATTCATCATTATACTGGTGAATTTTTGTTTTAGGCTCTTTGATAGTGACATATTTGGAGCAAATCATCTGATTTGTCCTTACTACACGTATATTGAAATGATACTCATATTTTTATTTTATAGAAACGAGGTGAGAAAATCCCCAAAAATCTGGAATGATTTATATTTTTCTGTTTATTAAAATTAATAAAGCTGCTTCTATCTTTATTGAGTACGTTATAAACTCGGCTTTAAAGTCAGGAGTACTTTTCAAATATAATAACAATGCCATCGTGTTGATTTTCATACTACCTCATAAACCAACCAGATAGTATTGTTTGTTACATTAGGTATGTATTTTAGATAGTTGGGTTCATCTTTATATGTATTTTTGTATGTATGTCTGTTTGACTCAAGAGACGCCAATGTATAATTAGCCAATTTGATGTTAGAAAAGGCTATCAGAGTCAACTTAGTATAAGCCACGATATAGAAGCAGAAAACCTACCAGGTGAAATTGGCAGGATCTCATATGAGAGATGTATATGATATCACGATGAAAATCAATTTCAATTCAAATACGAAAGCTCATAGATTTTTACGAATGAGAATTCACTCAAGCTTCCGTAATTCCAAGAAATAACAATAAATTGTGGATCGCATTCAATGCCAGAAGACGTTGACATGATGACACCTAATGAAAAAACGAATACATGAAATTAGTCATTTATAATATATTGTTTACTACTTTAATTTTGTTTTAACTGTTATGTTTACTTTACTTCAGCAGTGTTTGAGGGTTGAGGTATTCTAGAATTGAGTATGACGAGTTGTATTCAGGAGACTGTTCAAGAAGTTGAATAAATTCAACTTTTTCATTTCGTGAAACGAATTCGTTTTATGAATTAGTGATCGAGGAAATATAATCGCTTGTCATAACACGGAAGTGAAATACTATGTAAGGTACAGAACTTTAGTTGTGTTTGAATATCAGAATATTTTGTTATCCATAATAACTTTATATTCATTGTTCTTGTTTCCTATTGTTGATTGTTTCACTATCACATGAAAAACCTATGATACCTGCATATTATCAAAAATATACTACATCGAATGGTTCAAATCATTTTCATTGAATATAATGTCGTTATGAAACAGGGTCAATAGAATGGGCCAAAAGAATCTGCACATACTACTCTTGAGAAATTATTAGCAAAGACCATTGACTTTTCGTCCACTCCGTATATTTCAAGTATTTGTAGGGTGAACATTCATCATGGAATGAACGACATTCCCAATAGGTTGTTCAAGTTGTAAGTCATAATGAGGATGCCAATAATAGTTACCTAACATGGATGTGACTTTATCAAAAATAAAACATCTTGTATATAATATGTCTGATTAGGAGATGCTAAATATCACGAAATGGGGATGATATTTGTATACTACAGAATTTAAATGAGATTCCACCGCACACTTTTCCGAAAATCACTGAATTATTCGCCATGTTCCGACCAACCCTGTATATTGTTGGTACGTGCAGGAATCATTATACTTTATAGTAGATTCGTATCGGTCATTCGAACAATCATTGCACAGTTGATTTGGTTTCGAAATTATGAAAGGTGTATTCACAATTACTATCTAAAATTCTGGAAAAGTCAACTTTATCACCCTATATAATCGTAACTGTTGATTTCAGAGCGTTGGTGCAATGGAGACATTTGATCAGCACCACGAGTTCTACAATATATAAAAAATTCGAGTAAATTCACCGAAAGCCAATTTCCCATTGATGCGGTGCGGGGTCCTTTGATGAACATTTACAAGCTAATCTAATGAATAGTGGTTCTCAGTCTTCTAATTTTGCCCGATTTCACGATGGCTCGAAAATTCTGCTCAGACGACAAAACAAACAAAAAATCAATTGAGAGAACCTATAAGTACTATTATTGTTGTCTAACAAATAAGGAATGAATAGGTACCAGTTTATGTTATTTAGCAGGAATATCAATCAAAACACTGTATTTATTTTTGTGTCCCTCCATACATATGTATATTTCTTGGAATCTATGAATGTTATTATTATTATTCGTGGTAGTCAAGGTCATTATCTGACAATGTGATGACATATGTTAGCAATTTCAAGAATCAAATGAAGAAATTCTACACACACAAACCTAATGAAAGACCCACCTAATTTTAAGTTTGGCAGGCAGTGTAATGGTTCAATTTATTTATTTATATAGGTGTTTTTCCATTTTTTTGTTACAAACATTAGGAAGAGTTGAATTATATGGTTATTGTATTGTTATCATACTTCCTGTTGTTGATCAATCCATAATAAAATTGAAATAGTAAATGCATATGTTGAAATTGTTTTTCTATTTCCGAACCAGCACTTAAGCGGTGCTTTGGACAAATATCAGATACTGCATCACTGAACTTACCTGTAATACTGATATAATATGTTGTTTGTCTCTTGCATCATCTGAATAAAGTTCTTGAGAAGAAAAAAAAAATGAAAACGACGGAAAAAAACGTCCAACTGTAAAAGCCAGGAGTTAGGAATGTTTTCCCGTTTTCATGTCATCGCAACGTCAGATGATGACCTTGAATACTGCGAATTATTTTTATTAGATCATTATGAAAAAAGTATATCATGTTGACGACCAACTTGGGACACTACAATGTTTGAAATACAGAATTACCTTGATATCCTTGGGGCACAGCCAAATAGTCGAGCAGCAACTGAGATTGCTGCGCATCAAAAATGAAAGGATATCGATGACGTAGTAGTTTGTACAACAAATGATTGCCCCTGTTCGATGATAGGTCGCCTTCACTGCAACAAAAAAATGTCCTTTTGAAAAATATCACATGATTTGCCAATCTTACTACCAAGGTGTATATTTTTTGTTACCACTAGCAATACATTTCAATCACTTTAGTTCTGTGAAATTGACATACTGTCTACAACGTTGATTCTTCGGAGAAGAATTCCAACTTTCAATTTCATTCAATTAATCGTCGGAAAAATGCATCATTCTGAATGAATATTCATAACACGATTATCAAAGCTCTGAATTTGAAAATTCCGAAAACGTTTCGAGAGAAAGCATCAATCAAGAGGATACAGGTGAGAAAAAAAAATAAAAAATTATCTGTTCAAACGGTAAGGTGACGACCACGATGCAGTTTTACACCCATTCAATTATCATCCTGTAGCAATGTTATCTGAAATTACAGAAGTTTCATATTGCCACAACAAACTGTCAAGAGATTAGGCTAATCATCGGTGAAAACTGATTTCAAATTGGTGAGGAAATTCTTGAGTTATTCTACTTTGAATTTAGGCTATATGCTATATTTTGGAGCACGACGTTATCAATGTTGACCAGTTTATTATGAGACATTTCAGTAATTATTTTTTTAATATAAATAAAGGTTTACAGCTATCATTCATTTTTTTATAAAATATTCTTTTTATGCATCTCTTTTGTAATATAAAGATGTACGAAAGTCTTGTGGATTTGATTATATAACTAATAATATTGTGAAGGTAGTCAAATATGAATTGGCTCCTATATTGTTGAAAATTATCTCAAAATCTTTTAAAAGTGGAATTATTCCTGACAAAATGAAAATTGCGAAAGTATTGCCTATATACAAAACTGGCAGGAGAGATGATATGAATAATTACAGACCCATTTCTGTTCTCCCGGTTCTTTCAAAATTTATAGAAAAAATTATGAATTATCGTCTTCTTGATTTCCTGGAAAATGACAATTTGCTATACAGTGGTCAGTATGGATTCCGTAGATCGAAAGACACTGAAGTAGCCGTTATGGATGTTATTTCAGATATCCAATTACGAATAGATAAAAATGATCAATGCGGTTTATTGTCATTAGATCTATGCAAAGCTTTTGATACTGTCAACCATAACATTTTATTAAATAAATTATTTGCAATTGGTGTCAGAGGAAGAATTCATGATTGGTTCAAAAATTATCTATCAAATAGAAAACAATATGTTGAAGTGAGTGGTACTTGTAGTTCCTTAATGAACATCTCATGCGGTGTACCGCAAGGGTCAGTCTTGGGACCAGTTTTATTTTTGATCTACATAAATTCAATATCAAACTTGGAATTGAGAGGAAAACTTAATTATTTGCAGATGACACGACATTGATTTATTTTTCTAAAGATTCAAATAATATTATCATGGATATGAAAAGTGATTTAGAGAAAATATCCTCTTGGTTACAAGTTCATAAACTATCTCTCAATTATAACAAATCCTCATATATGTACATAGCAAAAAGAACATTGAACATTTCAAATAGAACACTATCCTTCAACAATAAACTCATCAAATATACAGATGTAACAAAATTTTTAGGTCTTTATATTGATGAACGACTATTGTGGAATAAACATAAAGATCATTTGAGAAAAAAACTTAATCCTATTACAGGCATTTTATTCAAAATACGAAATTTCATTTCTACTAGATACTTGAAGAGTATTTATTTCTCTCTTATTTACTCAAAATTTCAATACCTAATATCTATATGGGGAAGTACCAATATTTCACGTTTGAGTCCACTAATGAAATTAAAAAATAAAATAATAATAATAATAATAATAATAATGGTCTTTATTCATCAATTACAATTTACAAACTACAAATTGCATCAAGATTGGGAGTGTTTGATAATGCATTGATGAAGGGCGAAGTTCAGCCTAGGCTGTTTTTCAACTTAACCGGTAGAAGGGCATTTTTATTACTCAGAATATATTCCTAAACAGATCAATTCAATATTAGAACAAATAAGAGGAAAAATTTTATGATCACAGTGAAAATAATAATAGTTACAAGAAAATAATGAATATAAGTTGAATATTAAAAATAATGATACCAATAATAATAGCAGTGATAATAAAGAAATATTCATAATGTAAATATAAGAATAATGAAAATAATAATGATAATAATTATATTAACAATGGGAGTGATAATGATAATAATAATAATGATAATTTCAATGAATTTGAAATAATAATAAATGATAATAAAAACGATAATGAGGATAGTAGCAATGATGAGAAAAGAAGTCAAGTACCATTTCATTTGCCTGTCCAAGAATATCTCAATTCACATCCTGCTCAATAGTAATTGTTTTAGGCGTTTCTTAAAATTCAGTATCGTGTAGGACCTAATTTCCACGGATAATTGGTTATATTCAGTGCAAGCCTTGTATGAAAAAGACCTCTCGAATAGCGCTGTATTATGCCTGGGTATCACTAAGGTAAGTCTATTGCGTGTTGGAATTTGATTTATATCTGAAAATGTTTGCAGTTTGTTAAATAAATACTCAGGTTGCTGGAGATTTATAACTTTGTGAACAAGATTCAGTAAATGTAATAAGCGATAGTTCTCAAGACTCAACCAGCCTGAATTCTTCAGTTTGTGAGTGACGTGGTCAAATTTTCTGATTCCATAAGCGAACCGTAAACAACTATTTTGAATTTTCTGCAAACGTAAGGAATCAGATTGAAGTATCGCGGGCCCATATACTGAGTCGCAGTAGAATATTTTAGAAAAGATTAGCGATTCGCAAAGTTGTAGTTTAAGTTTAGTGGAAGGATAGAGTTGTCTCAGTGTACTGTAAGAAGATTGAATCAAAGTAGAGACATGCTTATTGAATCGTAGTTCTGAGTCTAGCCATAGGCCTAAGTTTTTTGAAACATTTTGGAAATCAAGGTATGTGTCTCCTACTTTAATACGAATTTGATTTGAAACGGTTTGCCTAGATTTAAGTCTACCGAATAATACTGCTGTCGATTTGTTGGCGTTTAATTTGAGGTTGTGGGCTGTGGAGATATTGAGGAGGGCTTCGAGGTCATCATTGATCAAATTTTCAGAGGTGTCTATAGAATCGACATCAAAAGGAAGATACAGCTGCGTATCATCGGCGTAATGATGTATGGTACAATTACGAGTGAATGTGTGGAAATCGGATATATATAACGAGAATAGAAGCGGTCCCAAAATCGATCCCTGAGGCACTCCTTGGATTACAGGCAGCACGTTCGACATCTTGTTATCCAGGATGACTTTATGGCAGCGGTCACTAAGGTAATTAGAAATAAGCTGGACAGCATTTTCAGAAAATCCGTAGTACATCAACTTCTCACATAGAAGGTTGTGATCTAGGGTGTCGAACGCCTTACTGTAATCCAAAAGCACCAAACATGTTACCGTACCTGAATCGGTAGCCTTGAAGATATCATCTGTAATTGACGTTAGGGCTGTAGTTGTACTGTGATTACTTCGAAATCCTGATTGGGAAGATGTTATGATGTTATGTTTATATACATAATCACTTATTTGATCTTTGAGGATTATTTCAAATGATTTAGATAAAGTAGGTAGAATACTTATTGGACGGATATCTGAGAGAGATGTGGGCTGATCGCATTTAGGGATAGGAATTATTAAAGCATGTTTCCAGGCAGATGGATATTGAGCAGAAGTGATCATTTTATTGAATATGAATGTTACGTGTTTTATCAAATAATCTTCGACTAGGAGGATCATTTTCAGTGATACATTGTCCAAGCCAACTGCATTGCTCTTAATTTTATGAAGGGACTCTCGAATAGATTCTTCATTAATAGTAGTGAAGTGGAACTCATCGTTGACTAACCTATTGTCAGTATATCGCGTCAGTAAAGATAATTGATTTTGTGATTTTTGTGCAATTGGAGTAGAATTGAAATGAAGGTTGATGTCATTGACATCTTTCAAATCAGAGGGAATCTCTGTTCTTGCTTTCTTCCTGAGGATGTCCAAGGACCTTAGTGTATGCCAAGTACGTTTTGAATTTTTTTGTCTCAATACGAACTCAAGGTAAGCTTTTTTTTTCCTGCGGATTGCACTTGTCACGTAATTTCTCATCTCTGTATAACCATTCCAATTTGTAGCTGTTTTATTATTCTTGTATTTCTGCAGTGCTCGATTCCTGAGTGTGATCATTTGCTTTATATTATAGGTTAGCCAAGGAGCAGGAGGTTTACTCACCTTTTTTTCAACTATAGGAGCATGAGTAGAGAAAAGTTGGGTTATATTATAATTCAAATATTGAATCATGTCTTCAACATCATGTAAAGAATATATTTGGTCCCAGTCGACATTGTTCAAATCAAAGTAAAATTGATCTAACTGAAATTTAGAGAAATCACGATAGATAATGAATTTGATATTATTTTTTGAGGTGAAACGTTTAATGCAGCAAGAGACTGCCAGATGATATGACAGTCCGCGCCCCTTCAAATCGAAAACGTCTATGTCAAAAACAAGGTTGATATCTGACACGAAAATTATATCAATCAGAGTTTTGCTTCGAGGGGTAATGTGGGTGGGTTCATTGACTACTTGATGAAGCCCAAAAGAATTCAAGAAGTTAGTGCATAGCTCAAAGCCTCTGTTGGGTGTTGAGAAATCTATATTGATATCCCCGGACAAGATGAGAAAGTCGCAAGTGGGCAGTAGTAAGCCAATTGCATCCTCTAATTCACTGATGCAGGAAGTGATGGACGAGGCAGGCGGGCGGTAAATGACTCCAAAAATATAGGTTTTTCCTTCAGATTTACATGATATCCAGAGCTGTTCGAGATCAGGAGATGACCTTGAAAAAATGTGACTATAATTGATGCTGGAATGGATGTAAAAGGCCACTCCACCACCTCTCCCATCTCTATCAGCCCTGATTAATTGATACGATGCGATAGCAATGGTTCTGGAGTCAATGTGAGGGTCTAACCAAGTTTCACTTACCCCAAAAATATCGATTTTCTTATTAGTTAGATATTGATCAACACAATTGAACGCAGGGAAAATAGATCCTACATTCAGATGGGAAAATGTGATATTTCGATTCATACCTATTAGAGATAAACGATAATAACTAAAAAAAATCGTAATTGCAAGAATATAATATAGACTAAAATTTACTACTGGTACGGGGTAGCACTGATTTGATTATAACAATCACGTTCCTTATCGGCGACTCCTTAAGTTCATATTATTGATTCCTTCATTGATGGTGGTGCTTTGCGATGTTTCTGGAGTTGCTTGGCTTGCAGTAGGTGATTCAGCTTCTGATGAAAATATATTATGGTTAGATTCTAACTCCTCCAGCGTATAATGACGACCAGCGATGACCAATGTGTTCTTCTTTATTTGTGCAGCGAGGTTACTGGCTTTTGCGGCTTTGAGATGTACTAGCAATTGCTTCCTCAGTTGTCTGTCTTCGTATGGCAAGTCCTCCACAAAGGCAACTCCTGAGTTCCTCAAAAGAGATAGCTTCGAGGAAATCTCAGATTTTTTTAGATTAGAGAGCAAATCTAAGATTATTGGTTTGCTATCGATATTTTTGTTGATGAAACAACGATTTATGTCAGTGTGGGTGAGAGTTATTTTCAGCTTATCCTTCACGAACTGCAGAACTTCTGGTATGACAAAAGAGTTTTCTTTGGTTTTCAGTCCGTATATCAGGAAACAATTCTTCTTCAGAAGTCGTTCAGTGTTCAGTAATCTCGAGCGTAAAAGTTTATTTTCTTCTTCCAGTTTCTTGACAGAAATATTTAGTGTCTCGACAGTTTTTCCAAATTCTGCTTTGAAACTTCTGATTTCTGACTTCGTTTCCTCCCCGTCTTTACTGACTTTGGTAAGGAGTGCATAAATGTCTTTGTTTGAGACCTCCTTCCCGCCCATTATTCAGGTGAATGAAGTGATTATTATTGGTGTCCAGAACATTTTTATTCCTGCCCGCCACTGCTCAACAAGATCTACATGAACTGAGCAAAAACGCGTAGAGATAAGAAAAGGAACCAATTAAGTGTTTTTGTCCTACATTCACTTTTATTATTACTGTAGACAATGCTCACATCAATAATCACATGCAGATTTATGCACTTCGGCACCAAATTTTCGTGGTGTAGTACAGATTTTGGGATGGAATGATGCACAGTTCACTATTACGAAAAAGAATGAAATTTTTGGATGGCGTTAACCAGTTACAATTTCATTCGAATACGGAGCTAACACACTTGCGTTCATTCAGAATCGCTCATACATTGAATTGTATTTTCAATTTGAATTTTCTCGAACCAACTATGAATTTATACAAACCTAGAGATTTATTAGATCTGACATCGCTATATAAACTTAAAATATGTTGTTTTATTCAATTTGTCCTATATAAATTGAAAATTTCAAATTTAAATTTCAATGAAATCAATTCATTACATAATCATGGAACAAGACAATCAAATTTACTAATAGCAAATACGTTCAAGTCAAATATCGGCAAACAATCCATTTTTCACACAGGAATCGTTCTATACAACTCATTACCAAGTCAATTGAGGAATAAACAGGAAGCAACTAGATTCAAAATTAACTTGAAAAAATATCTGCTTCAGAGACTTTGATAATTCCATTTCTTATTTGAATACCTACTTATAAAAGGCAAGGTTGATATTGCATGATTATTTGTATTTTTTTTTTTACTTGTTATATCTTATTATAATTTCATAATTGTATGTATAAAATTATTTATATTGTTTATGTATCCCTATTATAAACAACTATGTTTCTTGGGGTAATAAAGACAATCAGTCAATCAATTGCTGTACTACTTAAACTCAAAAATATTATACCATACCTGATACGTGATTTTGCATAAGCATTATACTACAATATAGCAACTTCTGGGAAAATATGAAGTGAAATAAATTTCAAGGCATAACTATAACTGGATATACTTGAAGATAATTTTTCAATATGTCATTTCCAGTCGAGTCTAGTGTAAATTGTGACACCAAGAAAAGAAATCGTCGAAACGGTATCGACGGCATTCTCATCTCATCTGGAAGTATTTTCAATGTTGAATCAATTTTGATTGAAAGTTATGATTTGTGTTTTATCTTTATCGAGTCAAGTTTATGTGCATCAAAGTAAATGTCAATGACGTCAGAGAAATCAGTGAAGATTGTTAGCAAATCCATACCTCAGACAAATAACTTCATCCTCGGTACGCCTGAACAATAAAACGGGTCCAGGATATTTGGAAAGTTGCTCGAATATATTCAGATTGACGTGCTCTCTTATCGCTATGTTTATTATTGGCCCCCACCAGCTAGGCATGTGATTGACAGCTAAGGGTAATACGTCATCGAAGGTAGCGTCCAGTATCTGAAAAATGTTAACATTCTCAATGTTCATCAAAATACTACTGACAGTTTCAAGAGTGGTTAGTTTTTTTTATTTGGCAATGAGTTTATTGTTATTGTTATTTGAGATGGTTGTGGTTTGTTCCATACAAATGTTCTTACCACTCCTTTGATTTCAGGGTAATTCATAGCTCCCCACGACGTTGAATATCCCCCAATGCTCCATCCGAATAGGAGAATATTTTCTAATTTGAAGTGGAGTTTGTGCACTGCGAATTGTATGACCGCATTCATGGCGTTCTGTTCTTGTGGGGGATACGGTCGACCCTACAAAGAAAATAAACAGGATGTATCAGCGAGAGATATTTGTTGTTTCGAAAATTATACCCGCAAACGTCAATATTATAATCATACAGTGTGACCCATTTCTAATGGAAACACCTCCCTAAAATTTGAAGTTGTTAACCGATTTTAATTTTTTTTTTTAAATGTCAAGTACTAAAAGCTCTACCTTGGGACAAAATTTGAAATGTTTATTCCAATTTTCAGGGTATACTACGATAGTTTTTCTAAGTCGAAAATCGAGATTTTTTATTAGCGATTTTTTTATTGAAAAATCACTACGCCACTGGATTCAGAGTGCCTCCAAACAGGTGTGACCAAAATTTCATGAAAAGATATTCATTGATAACAAAGTTATGACAACTCAAAAATTCGAAAACTCACACAGCTAACAGTAAAAACACCTTTGCAGCCATGACACAAAATAATTCGAAGAACTATAAGGTGAATATTGTTGACAATAATACACTTGAATCTTTCACAAGTGTCAAACTGTAATATCATTTCCATGGCAACTACGATTTAAATTGAAAAATCTATTAGGTCTTAGTTTTAGTTAAATTGCGTGAAAACTTGAATGTAATTCTGTTTTCATTAAAAAAATTAACACTATCATTTTTTTTCATCTGGTGGCACTTTATTGTTGAAATCATGGAAAAAAAATTCTCATGGCAATATTTGTTGATATGGGGTGTTTTTTGTGACTGTTAGCTGTGTGAGTTTTCGAATTTTTGAGGTGTCATAACTTTGTTATCAATAAATATTTTTTCATGAAATTTCACACCTGTTTAGAGGCACTCTGAATCCAGTGGCATGATGATTTTTTCAATAAAAAAATCGCTTGGAAACTTGGAATAAACATTTCAAATGTTGTCCCAAGGTAGACCTTTTAGTACTTGACATTTCAAAAAAATTATTAAAATCGTTTTACGAATTCAAATCTTAGGGGTGTTTCCATTAAAAATGGGTCACACTGTATACTAACAACACTCATATATTGAATGTAGGCATACAATTAAAAAAATCTACCTAGAACCTACCTACTCAGAAATTTAACAACACAGACACAGAATGATCAGAATTCAAAATCTTGAATCACCCTGTATTTGTTTCAATTAAATGTCAGTAGATAGTAAAACAAAAGTCGATATCGAGACATGAAAGCCGTTTTGACCGATAATGAATAGTTTCGACACAAAAAAAATCGTATAGTTGAAGAATCTGGATTATTTTAAACACCCTATATCTCTGTAATCATTCCCGCTAGACCACATGTGTGATGCATTGATGAAATCTGCTCTGCAGGGTCAATGAAATACATTTCCATTTGGAATATAAGAGTGGCTACTATACATGCATTCTCCTCATTTTTATAACTGTTGTTCTGTGAAAAGTGCCATAAATTGAAGTGAGTGTCAATACCCTATTTCTATTTTCCATCTACGGCTATGATTGATTTGACAGAAAATGTAACCTCTAAAATAGTATCTGAAAATCAGGCGCTATTAGGGAAATTGAAAAGACAAAGAGCAGAATTTATGTATATAATAAAAAAACTGATTTTGACATTATTTGAAATATCAATATGTGGTCATCGTCGTACAAAAAAAAAGGTACATCAATTTTTATCAAAGAGAATGTGAAATACCTTACTCCTTGTATATTGATTGAAATGGTACGACATGTTTTCCATGCACATTCACTATAATAAATTGCCCTACTAATTTTAGAGCAGCACTTTTCAAAGATTTCGAAATATTAAATTTTCGTATAGAGGTAAGTTGTCTTCAAACGGCGTATTTTTGTATCTAGTTCACCCTGTACAATTTATGGTACGTTGTTCTGGGACACATTGTATAAGGATGGCCGGACAGCAGCCGTTAGTCAGACAATCAGCGAGTGTCAAAAAGACAGTCGTATACCTGGTGTGTCCACTCTTCAATTGTTCCGTCAGACTAGCTCTCGATATGAACAATTGAATGCGAGTTCGGAACGTGGGGTTCTCATATTCGATGATAGATAGCGTGAACGATGGAGAATTTCTTGGATCATTTCAAAACTTGTTTCGAATTTCATTAAGAAATTGAACTAGTATTTCAAGGATCTTTTTTCCTCCTATCGGGACCTGATGAGTTCCGTTGATGACGCACGAATTCAATAATAATAGCTGAATAGAAGCATCTAGAGACAGGACGCGAACGAGACAGGGAGCAACAAATAATCCGTGCGGGAACATCTCGATCTTTACTCGACATAATATCTGTCACTAGTGTCACGTTTCACGTGTTCGGAATATTCATGCTTTATTTGTTCAAATTTCAAATTGAAATATTATAAATGATTATGATTGATAATTTATGAGAGCATTAGTAGTTTATTAAGCAGGTATTGATATTATATTACTTGAGTGAGTGTATCATGCTTTCATCATGGACTGATTTTTGTGTGACGTTTATTTGGAAAACCGAATATCTGTTTTATTTTATGTACCAAAAGAGTGTAAATAAACTATTATTACAGGATTTTATCAAGTGTGGATTTTGTGTCGTTCATGAATTCACCATTGAAAGTCGAAAATATGACGCACCGTTTCCATTTGAACAAAAAATTGTGAAACTGAAAAAGTGAACTCAAATAAATGTGTCATGGTGCCTGTAAATTTGGTTTGAAACTTCGGAAATTTAGCACGTTTCTCCCACGCCTCGCTATTTTTACAAAGTAGGCGATATTGAGAGATTTCTAAACTCCTTCCAAGAGGAAATGATTACACCATTTGAATTTCTATACATCTATACAGCGAGTCATGTCTCTTGGTGTTCGAAACATAGGGTTATAGTAAGGGTGAGTAAGATATATGACATGTTCTAAATGCACAGGATTCAGCTTCTCCAGTTCCAGAGATTTCAAAAATCCTTTCAAGTAAGTAAGGAAGTAAAAATATCATTTGACATTCTATACATCTATGTCCGGGCACTCACCGTACTACCGGCGAATCCCGGATGGTTCCATCCCAGCACGGAGTAGGTGGCGGCTAGCGGTGTCATCGCGATGCCGATCTCGTAGAAGCCGGCGTTGCCCTCGCAACATATCACCAGGGTGTTGCCGTTCGTCGACACGCCTCTGTTGTTCACGAACATCGCGTCGATCTCGTTCTCGTCCGCCGTCTCTACCGATATCAACATTGTTTTAATTGATCGGCCGTTACTTGATGTAAATCGATGGAAAATGTCGTAACTTCACAAAATTCTCAATCACACGACATGTTTCGCTAATACAGTAGCTTCATCAGGTGAAATAGGCACAATATCTACATTAACATACGGTGGTGTACCGGATTAACTTCAATTTCTAGTTATGATTATTTCAGGAGGGGTGAAAGAACTTACAGTCATGGCGCCATGTAATAGGATGAATGAGCATTCCTATTCCAGGTTAATAACTGGGTTGTGAATGTATAGTGACAGACATTCTAGTGATCAATTCAAAGTCAAGTTAGAATCAATTTCGTCTTTATTGGTGGTTCAAGATATATATATATATATATAAAATCAATCATAGGAACGTACCCTAAACCTAAACAACCTAATATCATGAATACACCGTGCGTCTTGATAACAACAGTGTTAACAACCCACACGGTGCGTTGTCCTCGCTTAACCTATTATACAGAGTATTCTTAACAATATAATATCACCCTATATTATCTTACATACTACAACTGTAATAAAAAAATAGCCACACCCAATTTTATTGTAGTACATGTGGAAAAATTCATGTGCTTATTAGAACCCGCTTTATTCATTTGCAGAGATTGCCGATGAGTCATTGGTGGTTTGAGATTGAAACATCATTTTGTCCTCGAATGATTGTGTTTTTGTTCGAACTCTAGTTATCAAATCTTCGATAGTTGTTGTCTTATGTTAATTTTGGGTTTTGTTATTAAATAAATATATTTTCATTGCAATTTTGACATTTTCTTCGTAAAGATATTCATTTCCGAAGGCATACTGATGAAATCTTTGGAAAAAATTCAAGTCATCATGTTCAAACCACCCAAATTCTCCATTGCGGAGTCAGACTCTGCAGCGACAGACTATATCCTTTTTAAGGCGCGACTACTAGAAGGTTAAATAGCGTGAAAAAAAACCATTTTTAACCGCGCATAGTGAATTTGATATGAAGCAAATATTAAAATGAACCAACATGTGGGTCTGACTGTGTTGAATTAGGTTAATTAATCACAGATGACAATCGCCAAATGACAATTGACAACAATGACGCTGTGAACAAAAAACAACATCAGAATGACACCAGTCAAGTCAAAACCAATGAATGTTTTGATTCGAAGTGACATAGAACACAGAACAGAATTGTAGTTAAAATAATTGTATTTGAATAATATAAGACTATCGAATTGAGTTTGTTCATTGAGGCAGTTGAGTTTAGAGTTTTTGACAGCTTTATTGATTTCCAGGGTTTTCAAGTTTTTTTCCTTCGTCACAGATATGTGAAATTTTTATGTTAGAATTGGGATCAAAAGAATGCTTGTCATTGATAATATGGTAAGGAAAAACAGAATTGGACTCAAAAAAATATTTTTCAACATTATTTGCTATGATACGATTGTGTTCTGATACTCTGGTTTTGAGCTTATGATTATTTTCCAAAAATGAAGGTTTGTCGAACCTGTCCACAGGCAATTCTAATCCTTCAGGTTGGGATAGTAGGATATATAAAAGTTAGGCAAGTCTAGCTGAGTTTAGTTCATTGTACCAGTATTTCACTAGCTACTGTGTTAGCGAAACATATCGTTTGATGGGAATTTTGTGGAAATTTTATCGTTTGTTTTTACAGATATCAAAAATCGTGATAGTTATTACCCCGGACTGAATAACAATAGATAGATTGAGTGAATGTTAGCCCTCATCATGAATGGATCACCTTGAGGTCAGTGTCAACGTAAAAAATCCCAAAATTTTGCTGGATAGCTCTAAAAGCTATGGCCTGTTTAATCGAAAATATTTAAAAAAAAAAATGATGTAGAATATTTGAACAAATAGAAAATCTCAAGTTATCGAAATACGTGAGCCGTCTCACGTTTTTTTACTCTCAATGTGGAACCTTACGACCAATTCTTACATAGGCGGAGTAGAAGACATCATAGCAAGAGGCCAAATGACACAAAAAATGAGTATATTTATCAGTTCTACCAACCCTGACCTCATGTTTCGGTGGCGCTCATTCATTGAAAAGTATATTGTCACAGAGTAGTACATACGGTATATTAGTAATTTCGAACCATGAGGGTTTTATAAACATAAAGTTAATCAAATCATCCGTTGACATTGAATTATAAAAACTGACCAAGGAACTCTCATGAGAAACGTGCATATCTAATAAAATGATGTATATTACATACGTATATAAATATTGGATGTGAGGGTTCCGAAGTTAGTCTGGCCTGGGGCTATTCTTGACTTGACAAGAGCTCGTCGTAATGGTAATTATCATGTAAGTTGTGATTAGGTCTTTATATTCATTGTTTTATTCATATTTGTCATCATCACCCATAATGTTTCATGCTTCATTAGATATTGTTATGTTTGAATATAGTCTCGTACTTTCAGTTACCCCTAAACTATTAGTGCCTATTCGAATATTACCTCTCGCAAACTATAAAGCGAAGCATTACTTCTTATAAATCGACACGGATGCACTGAAAATCTATTATATCGTGACAATATGCTAATACTCCTAAACGCCAAACACGGATAAATGAATGAAATTGCGAATGGTGGGGATAACTCTGCCACAGAATTGTGATACTTCATAGAAATATTATTGGCTAAGTATTATTATTATTATTATTATTATTAAATGATTGTAAATCTTTTTGCTCCTATAAATTAAGGATTGTCTCGTTAAAGATGAAGTAGGCAGAGGAAGAGCAAGGTTTCTTTTTTCATGCGTAATCTTGTCTGTTTATGTTCATGAAATTTCCTTTATATTTATGTTTTTATTTGCATTTATGTGTTCATGTATCTCTATCATGAGCAGAAATGTTTCTTTGGGTAATAAAGACAGTCAAGCAATCAATAAATTAACACTGATGTCGTGTTGTAGAACGCGGTGATTCATGCATAAATCATTGAAAAGTATAATATGCTAACAATCCTAAACGCCAAACACGGATAAATGCATGAAATCGCGAATTGTGGGGGTAACTCTGGAGAATCATTGCCACAGAATTGAAATACTTCAATAAAAATATTATTTACGTCTAATTAATCGGGATTTCTGAAAATGTGTGCATGTGCATTAATAAATTAACACTCACGTGTTGTATGTTGAACGCGGTGATTCATTCATAAACCATCGAAAAGTATAGTATGCTAATGATCCTAAACGCCAAACACGGATACTCACATGAATGAAATCGCGAATGTCGGGAAAACTGGGAAATCATTGCTACAGGATTGAAATTCTTTATAGAAATATTTTACTTGACAACCTTGCTTCATGAAAGGGAATGGAAATTTATCTGACCAATACAGGGTAAAAACTGACTGCACCATTTATTCTTCGTATCGCAGAACATGGCCAAATGGCGGTCATGACGGTACGTTTGACATGAGCTTCGAAATTCAACAATTTCAAACAACACATACACTCATTATTTACATAAAAAAAGCTTGAGAAGTTTTGCAAACATTAATTTAGGTGCCTACGACACAGTGGAAAAAATGAATGCCAATAATTCATTATCAGTGGGTGTTATGAAATGTGGATGCCATATTCAGGTTCCAACCATTGTCGATCCAAATGAAAAATCAAGTAGGCAAAAAGGTATTATATTGTATGCCTATTAAGAGATAAAATTGCCCTTATTATGAGAGTTATCTACGCTCACCTATTTTGAATCGTTCACCTCTGAACACTTCTATCAGTCTGGATCTACCCTGCAGCAGGCTTTGCTCTGAAATAAAAATTTAGTTGATTAGTGTACCATAAGCTTTTTCCGAAAACACATTTTTCCTGCAGCTCTCGAAGAAAAACATTACCCTGAGAAGTCTATGGATTTCATTAGATACCGTCGCTGGTACGACTTTAGTGAGTCATCTGATTCAAAGGGTATCCCGTACCCTACCTGCTATGAAAAAAAGCTTACCATAAAAGTCATTCCATGCCTAGATTTTTTTTATATATAAGCATTGAATTTTTTCACCTCGTCAATATATTTCGATCTGCTATCGGAACAATTTCACCATCTTCTCAATATTTTTTCTTTAGAAAAATATAGTTGAATGATTATTCTAACCTCTACATACCATATCAATTATTTTAATTAATCATTCACTCAAACAACTATCAGCTCAACGTCTAAGCATTAATAGAAAAATTATTATGCCTATACCTACTATATTTCAAATGTAATGTCATAAATTAAGTTTTTTTTTTTCATATTCCCTGTTATAAACATATTTGTTAATTATTGTTTCTTGAAAAAAATTTGAAGTTTAGGGAGTAGATTGTTTTAATGAAGAAAATTATTTCAGAAACGGTAAAACTCTTTAATGAGAATTTTTCATGGTAGGTACTGCAAGTACCCTTTGATCTACATTCTCCTTCAGTTAGACGTGGTCATTACAAGACCCCCTATATATATATAATATATAAATGCCCCCCTTCTTTATCTCAATCATTATAGTCATGCCTCCTATCAAATTTGGACTGGTAAGAAACCATCAATTTGATCGAACTGAAGAATAGATCACATTTTTATTCCTCAAAGAACGTACGGCACCATCCAGAATTATGTTGAAAATCATCAAATTCATGCTTTTCAATACTAGTTCAAATTTGGTTGAAATCACATGAGTCATAATTGACATAAAGGGGGTTTAACCAGAAAGACAACTTTTTTTAGGAATATTAGTGAATACAGAATATTGAAAAACTGGACAGGTGACCTCTAGTAAATTTTCAGCGTATCCTCTAGGAAAAATCAGTTGAAATTGTCGAATTATATGAAGTTACATGTAAGAAAAGAGTTTCATATCATTTTTAATTGTAAAATATCACTAAAGTCAACTTCCTATTTGCTTAAAAATTAGTAGAACAGTCAGAGAATATTACCTAGTACCATCTGGAGTAATCCAATACTGCCTGGGTAAATTAATCGTATGCCGAATGTGTGAATAGCCACATAGGCAATGGCTTTATAGGGAATTTGCAGAAGAGACTGCATCAGATTGAGATGTAAGGGCTTGCTGCTGGTGAGTTGTCTGTTCTGCCTAGAATTATACAATTGAATAATGAATAATAAATTACTCTCGGCTGTCTTATTCAAATGGTCAAAGTTCTGATAATTTCAATAATTTACTATTGAATACTGATTATTCGTTAAAAAAAAGATTCTTGAACAATCCAGCACTATTAAACTTTCTGGATCCAGAACATTTTGAACCAATCTAGAATATTTTCTAAGCGTTTGAAATATTTCCGCAATGATTCTAGTATATTTTAGAGCATTTTTGAACCATCTGTAACATTCTAAAACATTTCATAATATTTAAGAAGATTCTCGAATCTTCTGGAAAATGCTATAACATTTTCAAATATTCTGAACAACGATTAAATATTCTAGAGCGTTCTAGAACATTCATTCTCAAACAATCTGTAAGATACTTGAACATTCTTGAACATTGAAAATCATTCTCGACAATTCTGTAGGGTTCTTTAACTGTCTGGATCACTTTTAAATATTCTGAACCTTCTGGAAGACGCTATAACAGTCTCAAACAATCTGTAAGATTCTTGAACATTCTTGAACATCGAAAATCATTCTCGACAATTTTGTAGGGTTCTTCAACTGTCTGGATCATTTTTAAATATTCTGAACCTTCTGGAAGACGCTATAACAGTCTCAAACAATCTGTATGATTCTTGAACATTCTAGAATCTAGAACATTGAAAATCATTCTCGACACTTCTGTAGGATTCATCAACTAACCGTCTGGATACTTTTTAAATATTCTTGAACCTTCTGGAAGATGCTATAATAATTCAGAACATTCTAGAGATTTCCCAAACATTCTAGAAAACATTCAGGAATATTTTGAGAGTTGCAATAACATTCATCATTTAAGGATATTTTCGAACATTCTAGAGCAACTCGAACATTCTGGAATATTTGACATTCGAGCTAGAGCATTTTCAAAGAATATCCCAGAAAATTCTGGGTCATTTTGAATAATCTATATTAGTATTCTCGAACCATCTAGAGATGCTATAATATTCTTGAACATTCTGGAATTACCAACAACAGATAGAGCATTTTTGAAAATTCTGAATTCTGAAACATCAATGAGGATTCTATAACATTCTGGAACATTATAGAACATTCTGGAATATTCTCGAACATTCTCAAATCTTCTGGAAGATTCTATAATATTCTGTTACTGACAAGAATGTTTTACAGTATTCTACAACAATCATGAACCTAGGATTCTTCTGGAACTTTGCAGAACATGCTAGCTACTATCGACCACATCAGCCTCAGATAATTTACCTACCGGTAGAAACCGACATGTAGGTTCTGATTATTGGTAGAAAAAATTGAAAGAAACTATAGTGTTAAGAAGGGATCAAACTTCAATCCGAAGAATAATCAAGCCAATTTTGCCACAGGGCGTTGAGAAGTGTATGGTGAAAGAGTAACTTTGGTTTTTCCCTGTATAATGATCAGTCATCAGCATTTCAGGAAAACTAATATTTAAGCCAACATTCCGGTATATGAATCTACGATTTGATCGGAATTTCAAAGAAATCAGACAAGGATTAAAAAAGTTACAGGCTGAACAGTTTGTGCAAAATTTTTGGTGGCCGGTTTTTTTTGCCGGTGAGTGTATTCGAAGGACTCGTGGTATAACCTTCTGATTATTCCGAATCGAATTCATCCTCATCGAATAGTGTCGCGACACTTGTACTCCACCGGCCAACTAGCGAACCCGAACTCGTACGCCCGCAGCCGGCGCTTCAAATTTCATCGGATAATTTTTTATTTTCATCTTCTTTATTTGAGGCACATTTTGTCTTCCCGCTGAACAATTCTACTACACTTTGAGCATGAACAAACCGAATTAGATGAAATCCCTCGACTTAGGGACTCGTGATTCAACAATCGGTTTGTTTTCATATTTTTGCCAAATAAGAAAGTTTTCGTAGAAAATTAAAAAAATCATCGATAATATTTGAAGGACTTGATTATTACCTTTTATGTTCATTCGGGTTCGAACTATTACGGTTCTAGAACTGTCAGGAGTAGAATCGGTCGCGTTCCGGTTTTGTGTAACTGTACTAGGACTGACACTTTACGCGTTCGGGTTTTTCCAGGATCGTCCTGGGACGGCTCTAGAACTATCCGAAACCAGTACCTGCTCTCGAGCATGAACCGTTCTAGGATTATTTTTGGCGCATGCTCATTTCATTTAGTTTTCGATTCTGTCTGTTGTAGCGTAACGTCATAATGATATATTTTTGTTTATTCTACTGTTTATTGCTCTTTTCGATATTTTTTCAATATTATGGAGTTAGTACATTCATTCGATAGTATTAGATCTTCATCTTCAGGAAGCAATGGTGAAGGAGTTACTTGCTGTGGTTGGTGAAAATATTTTACCTAATCTGATAATTCTCAAACTTTTGTTAGATAAACCAAAAATGAAGGATTATGTTGGAGAGAATTTGCCATTATATTCAAATACAAAATTCATTGAACATTTCAGGTGGGTGTCGAAATTCATGTAGGTACTAGGGACAAAACATATTGAAAATCTAGCTAACGAATGCTATGATGGAATATATTCAAAATTCGTCCACAGAGGGTTTCCAGAGATATAGTGAATATGGACTCAAAGGAGAGATTGAAGTTTCAGAAAATTAAAAATTTGAATAAAGATACAGGATCCAAACTATTGTTTTTTTTTTGGCAAATTCTGAATAGAGGTTATGTTCTCAGTGAACCGTTCTGAAACAGTCCTAGGATGGAAACGACTGCACACGTGTTTTATGCAGTTCGAGTACGATTCTTCAACAGTTCTGAAATCCGAACCCGAATGGGTTGCGTGCAAGAACTGTCAAATGACCGACCCTGGAGGCACAACATTGAAACACAATCCCACTTATCTTATTTGTTTTCAAGTGATTGAAATAGTTTTTCACAATTATTTTGGCATAGGAATCGTATTTTTTTGGCTATTTATCAATTCGCTCATGTCATCACATTGTGCTGTTGTACAAAGCACAAAAACTGCAGCGGTTCTCCAATTTAACCCAGGAATTCCTTCTGCAATAGGAGCTGATAGACATACACGTGAAATTTCTAAAATAATGCAAGAAGATTGGATTCACGTAATCAATCGGGAGGACTGATCTGACATGCTGACGAAATATGATCGTGTGTATTGTAGACATTTTCAATCAATTAGCAGTATTAGCTTGTATTGCAGAATTGGCAGAAGGAATTTTAATAAGAAATGAAAACATTTCATAATGATAACTATGTGGGATTACTATTTACCTGAAAAATCATATTCCCTCATCTCTCGCTGCATTGTACAACAGCACAATGCAAAGGCATGCTTGAATTGATGAATAGCGCAAAAAAACACGATTCGTATGCCAAAATATTGTGAAAAACTATTTCAATCCTTTGATACCTCTGTAAACAAATAAAAAAGTGAGGTTGTGTTTCAATAATTCACAGAAGAGTGAGGTTGTGTTTCAATATTTTGCCTCCAGGGTCAGTCATCGTGCACGCGACCTATGAACCTGATTATTTCGAATCGAATTCATACACACCGAATAGTGTCGCGACACTTGTACTCCACCGGCCAACTAGCGAACCCGAACTCGTACGCCCTCAGCCGACGCTTCGTCTCCCCGCTCATCTCGCTCGCCCTTCGGGCTGCCCTGAGCGCGTCGACGAACTGCCGGTAGGCGGGGTCATCCGCCCGGCTCATGGCGCGTGCGCACATCGACGCGACCAGAACCACTCCCACGCCGGCCGCCAGCTGGCTCAGGACGAGCAGGCCGTCGAGGTCGAAGTAGCCGCGCTGGTAGAGGAGGGCGGCCAGCGCCGGCGAGGTGTAGATGCCCAGGCGCCATATCACGTAGATCTATGTAGAAACAGAGTCAGAAAATAACTAGAGTTTATTGAAAAGGAATATTCTCAGATATGAACACAAAAAAATGGATATATACAGTGTGTCCCAAATTCGATCCTCACCATTGGGATCTCAGTAACTATGAGAGATAGAGAAACGGTTAAATAGGCATAGTTGTAGCAAATTTTATGTTGAATCAGGATCTATTGAGAAGTCCGGGCTAGCTTTAGTCATTCTTGAGCTATTTGAGAAAAACTGAAATCTTGTATTTTTGTTTTGGTCGAATATCTCGGAAACTATTGATTTTATGAAAAAATGATTTCAACATTCTCATAGCACTTTTTGGTGTTCATTTCAATGGTTTTGTCGGTTTTCCATCAAAATGTCAAATTTGTGAGATATCACCAACAACTTCAATTTTTCTAATGGACGCCCTATTGGGTTTTGACAGATTTGAAATCAGCATAAAATTTCCTTTCTAGTAATGTATCACAATCACAGTTTTATTCTACTTGAGGTACTGATTTCCAATTTTTGTTTTAATGTCCAGTAGGCTATGAATTCTGTAACTAATAAATAATACTCGAAATTATCTCCACGACAATTCATTATGTTGTGATATTAGTTACTACTTCACTCCACCATGACTTTTACCTTAGATTATGGAATCTGTGTTCTATTTTCTTGCATAACTTAACAGATGGATAATACGAATACTAAAAAAAAATTAATTGAACTGCTCAAAATAGCCTCCATTGTTCTTGATACATTTCAATATTCGCGAGCGAACATGATTCACTGCTTTTCTCAGATGAACTCTGTTGATGTGCTGGAATGTGTCCATCACTCTCTCGTAGATCATCAATATCTTGAATTGGCTCTTCATGAATTTTATTTTTGGCGTAGCCCCACAGGTAAAAATCGAGAGGCGTACAATCAGGCGACCTAGGAGGCCATCAAACAGGTCCATGAGTCGTAATTAATTAAACACCAAATTGGTTTTCGAGATATCGATATCGATTCTTTCACACTGGTTGACGAACCAGTGACAAAACTCGGGACGACGTTCATTATCACCAGGTCTTAACCCTTGTACTGTCACTGGTTTTTGTAAACGACATTGTTTGCCCCGAAATAATTAACTTGTATTTTCTCTTATCGTTTACAGAAATGTCACTTGGCTCCAAGCCTACTTTATGAAAGTTGTGCCAGAACACATAATCGTTATTGTTTATAGAGAGTTTAGTGCATAGCCTACTAGACATAAAATCAAAAATTGGAAATCAGTACTCCTTATAAGATAAAACTGTGACTGTGATACACCACTAAAAAGGAAATTTTATGCTGATTTCAAATCTGTGAAAATCCAATAGATAGAATATATCCATAAGAAAAACCGAAGTTGTAGGTGATATCTCAGAAATTTGACATTTTGATGGAAAACTGACAAAACCATCGAAAAGAACGCCAAAAAGTGCTATGAGAATGTTGAAGTCATTATTTTCATAAAATCAATAGTTTCCGAGATATTCGAAACAAAAATACAAGATTTAATTTTTTCTCAAATAATTCAAGAATGACTAAAGCTAGCCTGGATTTCTTGATAGATTCTGATTCAAAATTAAATTTGCTACAACTTTGCTAATTCAAGCGTTTCTCTATCTCTCATAGTTACTGAGATCCCAATGGTGAGGATCAAATTTATGACACACTGTATACACAGGGTGATCCACGGTGGATGGCGTATTAGAAGTATCTGGAGAACAAAAAGACAGAACATTCTGAAAATTGGGATGCTTTGATAATTGAACATTTTCTTTCCGCCTAAAATATTTTCATCGATACAGTGTTGCCACTTCTATCAGAAACAACTAGCAACTTCGTTATTTTAAATGGAGTACCCTGTATTTTATTGCATTAGATTCGTCCTAAAGAGCTGATTTCATCAATGTATCACACTTGGGGTCTAGCAGAAATGGTTACAGAGATATAGGATGTTCAAAATCGAGATTTTTCAATTTTAGTATTAGGGCGAGCAGGCCGTCGATGTCGAAGTAGCCGCGCTGGTAAAAAATGGCGGCCAGAGCCGGCGAGGTGTAGATGTCCAGGCGCCATATCACGTAGATCTATGTAGAAAAAGAGTCAGAAAATAAAATTAATTTCAAAAACTTCAAATTTTAAAGAAGTCATTTGTATTTCTGAACATATCAAATGTATTTCGTAATGGCCCATATAATACTCGACGCCCTGAGGACGTCCAGTTTAGGCCCGATTTAGGTCTGAACGTCCGGGACCTTTTCAAGATGTACTGAAAACGTCCGTTTCTGGACGCACTGGGTACGTACGATTACGATGTACTGGGTACGTCCAACTCTGGACTTTATCGACTTTCAAGGGACGAGATTGAATAAAACTGTATATACAATATAATATAATATGATAATTGAAATCATTTCACATAATTTATTCTACCCTCTGATATCTATTCATTTAGGAACGTTGCAAACATGAACATAATACATTTCTCACAACCTTTTTTACTGGCCATACCTGATCACAAAACATCTATTTAGTATTTAGGTATTCTCTGCCATGATCATCTAATTCTATGCAAGTATAGATGTGAATAAGGATCAATCAACATTCGCACATAATGTCTGTAATTTACTGACATATAATCAAGTCTTCTGTAGAGTAATAGGTAGAGCATCTGCACGGTAATCTAATCGATCCCCGATAAGTGCACTTTTTTTTTATTTTTTTTAGTCAAAATAATATTCTTTCACCCTATCTAGGTCTCTATTTCAACTATCTGAGTAAAAAAGAGGTGGATCTACGTTGATTCAGGTATTAATGGTCCCGTTCAGACCTGAACAGGACCTTTATCGTACGTCCTGGGGACCTCTGGTTGTGTACCATCGTATGTCCCCAAAACGTCCTGAAAACGTACGCCGTACCTAAAATGGACGTTCTGGGGACGTTTCCAATGTCCGAGGTGTACGGCTTGAGGACGTTTTCGGAACGGTTCTGTACTATCTGGGTGCTACTTTTTGAAATTTAATCAACTTGACGCTTTTTGAACTAGAATAGCAAAATGAAATTCAATATGGGTATGATGTATGTGAAGAGGAACATTTTCGCATGTTTTCCACTTCCCGGTCACTTCCGTTTCGAAATGGAGCCGGTTTTGAATTTTTAAATGGATCACCCTGTATATTAATACATTTTTGAATGCCTGTGACAATTCTGGATCAGAATATGACATGTTTAGAAGTTTTCACGCCTATTTAATTTTTCATTCACTTCCAAGGACCTCAGGTGATTTCAGAAAATTATCATAAGTTTTAGTGACTAGTATGATAGATAGGAAGAAGATAAGTTGAAAAAATTAGATTTCCGTGTCTAACTATTATTTTTCAAATGGCAACCTTTGACAAGCACTTTTTGAAAAAGCATTTTTGACGAATCTAACGATTCTAATATTTGAGATTGGACTGAACATAAAAACATAAATTTAATATTATTAAGGGGAAATATTGAATATTATGTATTCATCCATATTTGTCAAGTTTGCCATGGATGCCCATGATGCTTAAATTTCGCAGTTATTTTATTCGAGTATTCTTTGGCATACATTTTTCTCAAGGGGGGACAGAACCAAATTCTCTATCATTGGAAATTGCGCCGCAGGTGAATTTTTTTTTGTTCAAGGTCAAATGCCTTCAAATTAGAAGTTACTTTCCACCAGGGTAATAATCTTCCTAAGACATATTCCTGAGACCAAAACTATTTGATTTATGAAAACGCACTTCAGTATGAAGTGCTCAGTTTGGCCACTGAATGGCTCTGGAAGACCAAAACATTTTACGTGTCACAATACAGGGTGTTCATATAAACGTATGTCGTAAACGTCCTAACTTTTGAGATACAGGGTGTCAATGTTGAGAATATGCATAGATTATTTTTTTGTTCACCCTTTATAGCTTTTCGTGATGGCAAAATTCAGTCTGCTATGTGACGGGTGTCCAGACATCAAAATTTGAAGTTTGGTCTCGTTTTTCCGTTTTTTCTCGAAAATGAAGCGTTTTATCTAGTATCAAGAGGATCTTTTTTGTACATAATTGTACATTGTATAAAATTTGGAAATTTTTTGTCGTTGCTCACTTTTAAGTGAAATATGAAATATAAACAATAATATTCCGTAACGTTGCCACTGGTACAGAAAATGAAAATTTTTATACATCAGAAGATGCTCCTTGATGCATAAAAACGTGTACCAAATTTCATGGGCTGTCCCAGATAGCATTATTGACCGCTATCTGGTGCGAACCTGACCCAACGTAAACGCATCTCCGCATTTACTACCCCACAAGGCATTCAACGTCCGCGAAGAACATTAAAATAACAACATTAACGATGGTGAATATTGAAATTGAAAGTGCATTTTGTGTTTGTTGCATGCTGTAATATAGCAGATGCCGCAACATCTTGAAGAACGTCGTGTCTTATTTGAATTTGATTGGTTAGTGTTTGCATCAATTATTTCCGGGGGGAGATCTGGAAAGATTCCTGAGTTGTCCTTTTTTAATTGAAATTACGTACACGAAAAAATGACGCTTGAAATGCTTATTTGTTGACTGCCACTACTGTCAGTTTATAGCGACTGTTGATATGGGTAGGTTCTGGTGCCAACAGTTATCCCCATATTTATTTATATTCACACAGGCCTATTGGCCTAATTACATGAATGATATATAACAGGAATACAGTTAATATAGATTTTTCGAAACTAAAAATTAATATATAAATTAATGTTCAGGAGAATTGCAGGGGACATCAGTACGAAGTATACTGTGTTAAAATATTCGTTGTATCTGCTTCAGTAAAAATTATATGCTGATGGATATTTGTTGTTGAAGAATGGATTTTCTGAGTCTGTTTAATGTCAGAGACCAATCAACATCAATTAATGTATTAATATAATTGGCTAGTCGGAGCATGTTTGCAAGAGGAAAGCCGGTTTGTCACGGACAATTGATGTATTAAACATAAGAGGGAATCTGGTTCGGCGAGCAGGCACATTGAAAGGAATAAGAGCTAAGAGATCAGGAGAATTAATTTTATAATTTATCATTTTATACAAAAATGAAATCATATTCAATTTTATTCTATTATCCAAGGAAACAACACCAAATTCTATCCTAAGTTGAGATGATCTAACAATATTGTAATCGGGCCATCTTCTATATTTTTTGAAGTATAAATGTCGCAGAAACCTGTTTTGGTTTTTTTCTAATGATTTCAGAGTAGTTTGCAATTCTCCATTCCAGAGTAGTGAACCAAATTCTAGTTTAGGTCTCACAAGAGTGTGAAATAAGGTGATTAATGTTTTTATATGTCTGAAGTCAGAGCCTTGTCTGATTATAAAACAGTGTTCGACTTGCAGACTTCGCAGTAGTGTATGATTGTTTATTATTGTACGTTATACCGAGATCTTTAATTTCTGTGCATCTCCGCAGATGATCATCATCCATTTTATAATCGAAAATTATTTGTTCTTTAGCATTTGATATTGACATTACTGAACATTTTTTAACATTAAATGGTAATTTAAATTCATTGCTCCATTCGTACAATGAATTTACATCCTTTTGGAGCATAACACAATCTCTAACAGTTTGAATTCTCTTGAATATTTTCAAATCATCAGCAAATAACAAGCATCGTGAATACTTAATCGTCAAGGGTAAGTCATTAATGAAAATAATAAAAAGCAAAGGGCCCAGGTTTGATCCTTGCGGTACTCCTGAGTTAGCATGAAATTTTCCAGAAGTATTACCATTATACCTAACAACAACATTTCTGTTTTCTAGATAACTTTTCAAAAGTTCTAAAAGTCTTGCCGATAATCCAAACTTATGAATTTTTCTCAATAGAATGTCATGATTCACTTTGTCAAAGGCTTTACTAAAGTCTGTAAATATGGTATCTAACTGCATTTTGTCATCCATGGCATTATTAGCAGTGTTTGTGAATGAAAGTAAATTCGTATTTATCGATTTTTTGTTCATGAACCCGTGTTGTTCGTTTACAATGTTCATTTCAACGTGTTTAAAAAGTCTGTTGTAGATAATTTGCTCAAATAATTTTGCGGGAGCGCACATAATAGATATTGCCCTGTAGTTTTCAATTTCCATTTTATTACCTGATTTGTATATTGGCGTGATGATTGCATTTTTCCATACGAGTGGAAAGACTGAACTACGGATGATCAGATTGAATATGTGAAGAAGAGGTTGCTTTATCCATTCATAACATCCTTTAAGGATATACGGTGGAATTCCATCAACACCAGCCGCTTTTTTAGGCTTGTTTTTTCATCGCTTGATCTAAATCTAATTCACCAATTTCATTTATAACCAAGGTATCATTACTAACACTAACATCATCAATAAAATTTAGACTATATGTAGACTTATCAGTTTCATAAATTAACGCAAAAAAATGTGCAAATTGATCGGCTATATCCTTATCAGGTACATTTTCGCCTTTATATACAAATGAATCGCTATTGATACAATTTGCTCTCTTACTGTTTACGAAATTCCAAAAACTATTAACATCCAACTTTATATTGTCCTTTAGTTTATTCATATACACATTCTCTGCTACTCTAATTAAAGACTTCAACTTCTTTCGTGCTTCCATGAATCTGTCATTGAAAAAAGTGGAAATGAATCGCAATTTTCTCAGTCGTTCTTTTTCACTGATTAAATCTTTTATTTCTTCCCCAAACCAAGCAGGACATTTTTTGCTACCCACATACTTTTTGTACTTTGGCACCTAAGTATCTAGGATTCCATTTAAATTTTTATAGAATTCAGCTAAGGCTGTATTTACATTTGAGTTGTCAATAACTTTCGACCAATCAGTGTTTTGGGTTCTATCACTAAATCTTATGTTTTATTTTGGAAATTTTTTATATCATTGTAGAGGCTATATGAGTTAAAAATCATGAATTCATCTATAATATTCATTCTCTCCTAGTTTTGAAATCGTGCGGAAAAGTAAAAATAACGCGGAAAAGTTAAATCGTACGGAAAAGTACAACTTTCAAAACGAAAAATCATGCGGAAAAGTTACTTTTCCGCACGCTCGTGAGAAAAGTTACTATTTCTAGTTAATTAGAGCAAGTATTGTTTTTGTCATCTTCATGGAAAAATATTCCAATTGGAAATTTTTCACATGAAAAATCCATAGCCCACTATGAAAATGACATATTTAGTGATTTTGGAGCATTTTTGAGAAAAGAGAATAGGGAATTTTGAGCTAATAAAACACAGGGTGTCCCATTGAAAAAATCATGTTTGAGTCATATCTCCAAAACCATAGGTACATGAAAAAAGTGAGTGCGCCACTGTATTCTGCATAAAATTCTCAATGGGATAGGAATTATTCAACATTTTTGGTGAGAAAGTTCATAGATATGGAAGGGGTACAAGTACAAAAAGTGTAAATTTTCAAAAACACCCTGTAACTAATGAATGAAATGAGTTGGCCATCTTGATTCTTGAATTACTCAAGAAAGTTGCATAGGGCCTTGAAAACTGCAAGGTTCTATCTTCTATCTTCAACAGCAACCAAGATACCTGGCTGTGTCAACCAAAATGGGATGCACTGTACATTTGTACAATGTAAGTACCTACCTACAAATACTACATTTTCAGAAGAGTATTTAGTTATGAATATGTCTGCAGCTTTTTGACCAGGAGGTACCCCTGTTCTTGATTGTTTGACATACTGTTTTTATTAAAGATAAATATTAGGTTTCAAGAATAAATCAAGTATGAATTTGGAGTATTCTATATGGCTAAATCTTTATTCCTAATAGAAAATACAAGGTCACCCCATCTGAGGGCAACAATTTGAACATTTCTGAGGGCTTTGTTTTGAATGACCAATAATCACAAATGAAAAATGAATGTGAACCAATGAAAACAAAATAAACAGAGGGCTTTGACAGTTTTCAAAAACTTTGATAGGTGGTGTATGCTTATTTTGCTTATTTTCTATCCTGAATAGGCATATAAATGAGAAAACATTGCAAAGTTTTAAATACCATCAACTGATGCTTTCATAATTTTTATTAATTTTGCTCCTAGTAGTTTCAGTGTTAGGACTGTACTGATGAAAGGAAAGCTTATAATGGCATATATTGCCTTTGGTTACATTTTCAAGAAAACTCTCATGATAGTGAGTTTGTATTTAATAAGTACACCTATATTTTTCTCTATACCTTGTTCTCTACTGTTGATGTAGGTACCTCAGTTCAATCATTTTAAATGGAACATGACATTGACCAGTAGAAAATCACAAGGGAAATCATTACCAATTGCCATTTCAGAAAAATTAATGTTATAATATGAATCAATCTTCTATGCCCTGTGTCTTTTTCTGGATTTCCAAACTGTATCCACAAAAGTAACTATAGAGCTGAATATGTATTATATCTTTATTGCTTCCTGCAGGATATAATATTTTTCCCCAAATTGAAGAAACCTTATAATTTTGTGATTCTTTAGAACCCTCTTTTTTCAATGTTGAATAGTAATATATATAATATAATAGTAAGTATCCTTACTGAATTTATCACTTTGCCACTCCATTTTTCCAAGGAACTGGGTTGGTAGTACTTCTGAAGAAGAAATATTAGTTGATGGTTATTAGCATGACCTAGAAGAAAATCCAGATAATACATACTTCTGCGGGTCCATTCCCATATATTTTGAGTAATTTTGGAGAGAACATGCAATCATAAATTGTTCTTAGAGATGGCATTTTATCCGCCAGTTTCTTTAGTTTACTAATAATTTGTAATACAATTGAACTTCGTCCATTTATAATTATTAATAATCATGAATTACTCTATAGCACTCAGTTTATATCTGCTGCTCTCCTTACAATAACTCCATTAATTTAAATATATTTATTTTACGGTCATATTATCTCCCCATACGAGTGCCTGCAGACAGCTTCCGCAACATCATTCAATGTTCTAGGTTTTAACGCACGATTCTGCACACGATGCGAGATGGAAACGTAAATTATTAAGTGCGCTCATGGTACAGTCAGGAACAGTGAGTCAAGCGTCAGGATACCACATACCACCACGCCTGGGTCCCAGACTGTCCGTGCAAGGGACAACTTTTTTTTTTTTCAACTTTCAACCCCAATTATATATTTTAAGAAGAAGGTTGATGTAGGACTAGCTAGGTTAGATTGTTTAAAAAAAAGTAGCATATTTTGTTTCGCTCAGTGATTTCCCGAGGAACATAGTTTTCAAGAAGGTACATTTGGGCCGAGTTAGATTAAATTCTTCAGAAAAAGTAGTCTCTCAGTCTCCTTACCTATGCAGTAAATAGATATTTACGTAATCAGTTAGGAAACGCGTTATTTTGAGTAACGAAAGGATTTCGTGGGAAAAGCAAACCAAAATCACGATAAACAAAGAGTTATTACATGAAATGCATTTCCTAAAGTCAGAGATGTAACATATTTTTTTCTAATTTTAGTAAAACATTTCATTTGAACAGGTATAGTGATCAGTTCTTCATGATTTCTATCGATTATGTACAATAGTTCGTGGGCAAGTTGATTTTGCTCGTATTTTCAAGTATCCGTCAAATAATAATATGGTAAAAAATCAGTGACGTGATTCACGAAGTAGGCTAGTTTGATATCTTCATAAGTGAAAATGGCTGATTGAAGTTCAGATTTCCCAAGTTATATCAAGAAAGTATCACAAAATATATCAGCGAATTTTTGGAATATCGAAGTCAAGTGGCGTCACCCACAACACACGATATTTTCTCTTTCATCATAGTGACTTGAAAACTTCCGAGGAAGGTGATAGCTCATCAGTGGACTCGACTATTACGGCGATGGCTTGGCTTCAACCCGAGGCGTCAATTTTTTCTTTCTCAAAGAAGATACTTTCAGAAAGAGCTTTATTTAGGCAGAGTTAAGTTAAAAGTAGTCTACTTTTTCATGCAGAAACTATATTTTTCTACCTGAAATCCTCATATTACCCTATAACCCTCTGATAACCCTGAGATTTCAACGATTTGGTGGTATGACTAGACACTTGTTATTTTTATCACGTCTAGTGTTGAAATGGACATTTCATCACAGTTATGATTTTTTTCACTTTACACAACAGGTTACGTGAGAAGTAAGACCTTTCAAAACCTCCTTCGATTTTGAAATGTGTCAACTCACACAAAAGCAAAACGTAAAAAGTTTGGTTGTGAACGCCGCTTCATATAACGCTTTCACCGTACTGCGTTGAAAGCCAGAATATTGGATAATCATGTGGGAGCTATCTGCAGGCGCAGGTCAAAATGTCATATGTCAATATGAAACGTCATACTGTCATACTCTTGACAAAACGACAAAAGTCAAAATTGATAAGAGAAATCAAAATTGTAAATAAAATAATAAAGATAATAAATGTCTGGAATGGCTTGCTAGTAAATCTTTAAAAATATAGAGCCTATCAAGTGAGAGTTTATTCTTCCCCATCAAATTGCACACGAAATGAGGTTCGTAATTCACATTTGCGGGTTGTAGTTGTGGGTAGGCAAGTTATTAGCCTTCACGGGCCATGTTTGCTTACTGCATTTCGTTAATTCATTCACTTTCAGCGGACCGCGTATGGGCATTTCTCAGACGAATGGAAACGCACGTAGACCCCCAAACATATCTCGTGTGAACTCAACTGAAAGGAGTGAGAGACCAGTACATGCTCAACATGATGACTTGATCAAATATATTTACGATTCTTGGAGCAAAGTTGAGATGGATCGTGGCTCGAATACCACAATGTATTATCAAGAGGACAACACTCATCATCTGAAGGATTTCCAGCCCTTTGATTTGGAAGGCTATTGGGGCAGAAGGAAACATCAGAACCACAGCACAGTCAAGCCACAGCACTCATAGCATTTTCCTGGATCCACTTTATTTCAGAATCATTATTCTCTTGATTATTATGTTTATTGAGTAACTATTCTGCATCATCTCATATTCCAAGATTCAAGATTGCTATGGGGCATGTCAATCTTATAAGGTAGCTGTAATGTGCAAAAGATGATATTTATCACTCCTTATTCAATTGAGTTGATTTTCAACACTGTATTTTGATACTGTCTATTTGTGGTGAGTATCTATGACTAGATGTATGATTCCATATATTTGTTTCACAGGAAAGTGTTTGCTATAAGATGAAGCTGAGGATAAAGTTGTATTAGAAAGTAACTATAATATTTTGTGAAAGTATTATAATTAGTTTAGATATTGGGATAAATTTTTGACAATCCCAGTAGTTTTCAATCCAATATACTGGACTACAAGTTAGTTATTATTTTTTCACTTACCTTATCTTGTCAAAACAATTAAATCAATTGCAATTCATTTATTGAACTACCATGTAAGAGTGAATACAATAATATCTAATTGAAGTTGTCACAAATTTTGATGGATCTAATCCTACATATTGGCAAATGCATAATAATTAAGCCTCATAACTAATATTTTCTGGAGTTGTATAAAGTTTTCATCAAATTGTGTTGCTTTTAGGGGATAATAATGTATTGTTTTGCTCCCAGATTTTTGTCTTACCATTCTTGGTCTTAATCACAACCTAGTTAGGTAGTTAGTAGGTAAGAGCTCCTACTAGGTTTTCATTTCAGATCAACAATGGTCTTACTGACAACAAAATGATTAATATGTTCCTTGCTAGGTGAGACTATTAGTGTCTAGGAGCTAAAGTTGGAGATACTAGAACTGAGTCAGCTGATGTGCTCAAGTGAGTCACAAAATGCAGTTACCTTCATTTATATTTCACTGTATCAGTGCTATTAGCTGACTCATTATTAGTTCCTAGAAGATCTATGCTAGAAGTAAAACTTCAACTTTAGCTGCTGGGCACCAAACATGTTACCTAGCATTATACATATAAAATATCAATCATATTGTGTCAGTGAGAGGAACATCAACTTCAAGAGCTAATTTTTGAATGAAAATAGAGTACTTTTGAGGGGAAAAAAATGAAATTTGGGGACAGAAAAAGGACCCAAAATTGCATTTGACAATTTATATTTCACAACAAAATGACTATCTTATATGACATGTTCTGTAACTATTGATAGGTATAAAGTGTCATTCATAAAGTTGGCATCATATGGGAAAAACTTTTAATGATAATTCATTTCAAAATTTGACTGGGGGGTTGAGTTTTTTGTCAAGAAAGATGAAAAATCATTTTTTCAAATCAATCTCTGAAAATAGGCTTATTTGTTCCAATGTCAAGAAAGTTAACTAATGAAAGTTGATTCTATTTCAATTTTATATAATATGTCTCGAATTTTAATGTTCTATAACAAATTTTAGTTTTATATATTTTTTCAACAAAACTATTTCATTCTAGTAGCTTTATCAAGTTACTTACTTTCAATAACATCATCTTTTTCTACAGAAAATAATGATCTCTGCTTCACATTAATCATATTCCTGTTGTGTTTGATGCAAAGTTGATGTATATATAGTCTATGATTAATAGGCCTTTTCATTTAGTTGTGATTTTAACAGACATGCGCTGGATCTCAGATCCAAAATTTGGAGGGGTAAAGCGAAGTCTCATTGGCTATAGGTCCGACACAAAATTTGATTGGCCCATTCGGTTTTTATTGATTTTCTATCGATTGTCATTTGTCAACAGTGTCGACCACCAGAGGCGTTCGTCAACCATCGTTGCCAGACCTACTATTTTAACAGTAGATCTACTGTTTTTGTCTCCGTTCTACCACTCTACTGCTCTACTGTTCAAGGCAATGGCCTGAATGGTCATGTTATAATATGACATAACTACCTAATATGTAACAATGGATAATTATTGTGGCATCACAGTAAGAAGATGTATGATAAAAATATACCGGAATAATCATATTCAGTCAGATTAGTAAAAAATTAGATTTCATTTTCAGTTCGGTTGAGGATAATACAAATTTTATTTCTTATTTTATTATTTTTTGTTATCCTTTGTTCGATTTTTAATAGGTATAGAGATCAACCATAATCATGTTTTCGTTCAATATATAGGTTTCTATATTTTTTTCATCAATTATAATAGCAAATTGTGATGATTATCAAAATCTACTGTTCAGTTTTGATGATCTACTAATTTTTTTCTCACTCATCTACTGCTCCGGCAAAATTTACATCTGGCAACACTGTCGTCAACGTCAATCGTCATTGAGATTTGAGAAATGGCGTCTTGGTATTTTCGTTTCTAGTTTCTATATTTCATAATTTTCAATTACTATTCCTGGTGTGTATTGATTGTATTGTGATAATTCAATTAGGAATAAACGTGACTTATTCCTTACCGAAGAGTGTGGTGCAAGTTTTTTTGGTGAAAATGGTTTTGACATGTTTTGTTTGTAGCGCGGAGTGGAGTAATAGAAATAATTTCCGTTCATTTCACAGGTGAGTTTGATACCTTCATCCATTCCACTTTTCCATCATCTTAATTATAGATTTCATATATGAATTGATAGACAGTGTCTACCTCTCGAATATTATTGAGTATATTTATAGAGGACAACATCTGGGGGAACAAAGAAAGATCTGGAAGAGTGGTAGTGGTGAGCAAATTATGTTTCTGCTTCGTTCAAATCAAAAACTCAAGGAGCTTTTCTGACTAAAGTGCCATTGACTGGATATTTCTACTGAGAAAATGTTCTATTATTGCATATTCTTATTAACCATTTATTTGTTCACAACCACTCTCAACGCTTTTCCACCTCCTTGTGGTCATTTTATTCTGTTTTGCTATTTCTAGTTATGGAATCATCTTGATTTCCACAATCTATCATTTTGGACATTTCCTAGTTATTGAATCTCTATTTCCACCTTTCACTTCTGACAAATATATACTAATAGTCAGCCAGTCCCCAAGATGGCATTATACTAATAATAATAATCTATTATTTTCTAAGAAACAAAATAATATACATGTTTATATCAGGAAAAACAGAACATAAATAATAATATAAGTCTAGGAGTTGACCTCCAAGTTAACTATGACAGTGTATCTCAGTTGATAGGTACATGATATAAAATGTAAATCTTCAAATAGGTGATCAATATCAAAAATAAAATTGATATCAATTCATAATGTCAGCTGGAAATATAAGAAGAAGGCAATTTCTGATTCTGATGGTCATGAGGTTTTCTGTGAATATACTCAATTTGGTGTTTCTGTACCAACAATTATTATTATCTCACTGGTTTGATATTGAAATAACATTATTGTTCAGTAGCATTCAGAAATGTTGATATTCTTATTGCTGAGTTAGACACTGTTTATTTTCAATAAATATCAACAATCCTTTTTCCATTTGTAAGTGAATTAGTCTATCAATATATTGATTGAAAATTCACAAGTCTTTCCTGAAATTGTAGAATTCCTATAAGGACTCTGAAAAGAGAAGAAAATGGGCAGAATTCTTGGAGCTGACTGACAATCATATCAATATGGATATAGAGTATACATGTTTGCACAGCTCATTTTCCAGATTATCACTTCATTATGAAACCTGGTGGAAAATGTTTGCTTGAAATGTATGACAATACCTATTCTGAGAGGTGGACCATCAATGAGGTGAGTAATTAATCTAACAACATTCAATTGTGACTCAATTTGAGAGACATTCAAAGGAATGAATGGATCCATCATCCATTCAATTTTTTTTGTTGATATTCATCATGCAATTTCTTCATTATTCATCCCAAAAAACATCCATTGTACCAAATAGCTTATAATATATATACAGGGTGTAACTAAATAAGTGTAAAACATTTGAGGGGGTAATTCCTTATCGAAAAAAAAATAGGATCTTTCATATGAAAAAACTTCATTGGAGCCTTCCATCCCCCAGCTCCTTGAAGGGGGTACATAAAGTTTGTTTAACAATTATTTTCACAAATTAAGAACACAACAACAATACACAATTAGTATTACTTCAAGTTCAAAAATTTACAAACTGACAGCTTGATATCAATTTAATTGTCACTATTGCTAATAGCAGCCAACTGAATTAGTTTCGTATTTTCGTTTTATGGCGATATGTATATGTTGTTCGTAAAATGATTTTTGCTGCGAACTGGTTCATTTTTTTCGGAAAATTCAAGGGACATTTTTTATTTAGCATGAAACGGCCTATCGAAAATAAATTTTTAAATGGTAAACAAATAAGACAAAAAGTTACATTGGAAATAAAATCTAGGGGTTGCGTTTTCAACCCCTTATAACCATGGGGTGAACCAAATAAATTACTGGCTAAGTGTCCTTTTGGTAGTAGAAAATGTCAGATCAATTTCATTACTGTAACTTTTTTAGTGCTTGTGGAAAAAATTGGTAAACGAATTTCATGGACCCCCTAAAAGGGGCTTTATCTTAATATGGGATGCTTCAATGAAGTTTCTTTTTCTCGATGAGGAATCACCCCCTCAAATGTTTTACACTTATTTAGTTACACCCTGTATATACAGTGTGTATCTGATGGATATCAAAACACTTTTTTTTTATTGGATAGGTATTCAAAATGTCGCTTCCTCTTTTCAAGCACCCTGTATTTCATGCTGATGCAAATCGGTGAGTACAGGTATGTTTCAAGTGATTCTGATTCAGAATTCATCTTTTTTTTAGTGAAGAACTATTATGATAAAAAATATTGCTCACTTATTCTTTTTCTTTTTTTTTCTCATACATTGTATATTTGAATGATGAGAATTGATATCAATATGTTTCAAGTAATTCTCAATAGTGATTTGTCATCCGTTCTACCTCAGTTATTCTACATTTTCTGATCACATTTTGAAGAAATAATGATAATTCGTTTTTTCAAACACCCTGTGTTTTGAGATGATGAAAATCGACACAGGTATGTTCCAAGTGATGCTGATTCAGAATCCATCATTATTTTTTCTGAAAAAAATCCATATTAGTACTTTTTGAAATATTGGTCCATGAAATTGATCACAGTTGGCCATGATTAGAGTCCAGGAATGAAATCACTCTCTTGTTGAATGGATATTTTGAATACCTATCCAACAAAAAACAGTTTTTCGGAATGGATAAGATAATTTTACAGGGGTAGTAAGTCCTTAAGGTATATGAATGACAAGATGTTGACACTTCATCAGTAGGGTAGTACGCACAAAAGGCCCCTAATAAATAGGTTGGGTTAGGATAACACTTTGTATATTTAATACTAGAATGACATCAATGTCATAGTTTGATAATATTCTGTATATTCTCAGAATATTATTTGACAAAAGATTCTGTGAATATGTTGAATATTATAATATTCTATGATCATTCTAAGGACATTCTATCACAATATTACAAAATGGGTATATTTGAACGTTGTTGTTCTAGAGTATTAATTTTTTTCTATATCATCAGAATATTTGCAAGGAATATTCCATTAATGTTCACAATATGCTGAAAATATTATTTCATGAACATTCTGGAATATTATATCTCGGGAGCTTCCAGGAATGTGATTTCATAATATTATTAGAATATTCGCACCAAACAAGCCATGCATATTCGCAACTTTCTGAGAATATTTTATGAATATTCCTTAGAATATTCTACAAGATGACATTTCCGCAGCTTGGAAGAATATTCTGAGAATTTTCATGCCATCTGGGATATGAATATATTTCCATAGATTGTTGAACCATGAACAAAATAACTAATTTGTTATATGGAAATTTTTTTCATCCCAGATTCAATAGGGTTTGTAGAAAAGTTATAGAAGAGTGAGTATATATTCATGGCCATTCAAAATCAAGGAAGAAGAAAAGTATAAATATCTAAATGTGACAATTTCATTTCATCAAAGGAAAATTCTTTGAAAATTCAAAATTATCTACTTTCATGCAAGTGTGAAAAAATAAATTTTGATAATATTGGGTATGGTAAATCATTTGATGGAGAATTTTGAATTTTTATTTATTTGAATTCAATGGCGTTATTTTTAACTGAACAACAAGTTATTGACATTCTTAAAATTGTGTTCCAAATATTCAAACAATAATTTGAATTTTCTCATCCATAGGCTGAAAACAAGTGATTGAAAGAAGATGATAATAAATTACAAAGGAGGATGAAGGAGTTGGAGGCTAAGGGCTAAGAAAGTCTTGAGTAACTTTGTGGAAAGTTTGAAGCAGAACTATAAAAATGTAAGTTTTATACATACAAACTTCACAAACGATAAGATTCACACAAAATTCTCAGACACATGACATGTTTCGCTAACACAGTAGCTTCGTCGCTCAACGCTTCGGGTATATCACTCATTTTGAAAATGCCGGATACTGCATGATGATCTAGTCATGCTATCGCCATCTAGATGACAGCGTCATGCTGTGTATGCCGTGGCCACAAGGCCCTACCTTCTAACGCCACTAGATGGCAATAGCATGGCTAGATCATCATGCAGTATCCGTTGTAACTTGTAACTTCTTTG